GAGTAGGAGCAAACACGGGAGCCAGCGGCAAGCAAGGAGGTAACGCGGAGAGGTGGTCTCCCTTGCATGGTAAGTGCCGTCAGATTTCGTTACGTTTTTTTTATTATAAAACCAACTTTTTTTTGTGTGTGCGTTTTTCTTTAGTGCAGGCGAAGCGGGGATGGGAGGTCGCGGGCCGCGTGGCGACGCTTCTTCGGGGACGTCTTATGCGCGCGCGGCGGGGCATCGGAGCACGCGGGGCATCAGAGAGCGCGTCGCACCGCGGCGCACGATGCCTGGCGGCGCTTCTCTCGGCTGTGGTGCTCTGTCGTCAAATTTCCGCTCGTCGCATTTCTGCTCGTCGCCTTTCTGCTCGTCGCCTTTCCGCTCGTCGCCTTTCCGCTCGTCGCCTTTCTGCTCGTCGCCTTTTGCGCTGCTCTCTGCCGTTTCGTTTTCGAAATATCTAATTCCCTTTTATTGTCGTCTGTGGTGCAGGAGTCTCAAGGGAGGCTTCACACACGTGGAGTCAACAGTCGGATCAAGGAGCGCGGGGCGAGGCTTCACACACGTAGAGCGCGGGGCGAGGAGCTGGCTGGGTCGAGGAGTCGGAACAAGGAGCAAGGCGCGAGCTTGGAGGAGTTTGACTTCCCCTCCCTTCCCGCCCTTTCCTGCACAGCAAATTTGGCGGGAGCGGGAGCAACCAGTGCAAGCGGGAGCAACCAGCGCAAACGCCAGGCTTGTAATGTCAGAATATTATGCTCTAGCCTGTAGTGGGGTGCTCTGTAGCGAGTACAACTCTTCTAGGGTTTGCTATTTGTATCCCCATTCTTGCTAGTGCAACCCTCCTCTTTCGCCTAAACTCTCTTGCCTAGCTAGGACTCTCCTAGCTATGGCTCCTAAGACTACCGCTTATCTTGACATGGTATCAGAGCTTAACGTTCGTGGCCTGTGGGCCCACTTCACTGCTTCCGCTGCTACTGCTACTCCCTGTCCGCCGCGCGCCCCGTGGTGCGCGGCGTCGAAACTAGGGTTTTCAGCCCGCCGTGCGCCCCGAGGCGCGCGGCGGTTTTCTGCCCGCCGTGCGCCCCGAGGCGCGCGGCGGTTCTCTGCCCGCCGTGTGCCCCGAGGCGCGCGGCGGGTTCCTGCCCCGTCACTCGGCGCGTCGCCCCCGGGAGGCGCTGCGACGGGCGACGGGGACCCGCGCGTCGCCCCCCGTCGCCCGTCGTGGCCTGCGCGCGGCCCGTACGGGCTGCGCCAGGCACGCGCGCGGCCCGTACGGGCTGCGCCAGGCCCGCGCGCGGCTCGGACCGCCTGCGCGCGGTTCGGGAGGCTGTGCCAGGCCCGTGGGCGGCCCGTTCTTCGCTGCCCCTGTCCTCCCCGCTGTCCCCCGTGCTTCTGAAGGCGCCCCACCCCTCCTTCTGCCCGTTCTCCTGGATTAGGGTTTGGGGTTGGGGGGTATGGGGGTGCAGCTTCTGTGTGCCGTTCCCTGCTCCTCCTCCTCCTCCGTCTCCCTGTGCTGCAGCTGCCGCTGAGGGGGGTGGACCTGTTGGAGCCGTCGGAGTGGTACTAAGGGGGGGGTGAAGGGGGAGTGGAGCTAGCGGTGTAGCAGCGGGTGTGTGTCGAGGGGTGTGGGACTGTTGGGGGAGGTTGAGGGGAGGTTGCCGTCGTGTCGTACGCAGCGCCTGTACTCCGGGGCACTCACTCCCGGTAGCTCAGAGAGCCGGTTGCGCCGTCGCCTGTGGGTCCGTTGCTCCTGCTGCTCGTCTTAGCCGCGGAGCCTGTTACTCCTGTACTCCGGGGCACTCACTCCCGGTAGCCACTGTGTCGCACCAGAGCCGTCTGTTGCCCGTGTGCCTGCAGCTTCAGTCGTCGCCTCCCATCTACTCTCCTCTCGCCAGCCCTCCTCCTCCTCACTTGCCCGTTGTGACTACCACTAGCTTTGCTCATAATTGTGAACTTTAAACTATTGCTTCTTAAACTTGTGCTCAGAATGTGTGGTGACATTGTGATCCACCCTGAGCTTGTACTGCTTTGCTTGCTCTGCTGATTACACCCCACTTTGGCTATGGGGGTGTGTCAGAATATTATGCTCTAGCCTGTAGTGGGGTGCTCTGTAGCGAGTACAACCCTTCTAGGGTTTGCTATTTGTATCCCCATTCTTGCTAGTGCAACCCTCCTCTTTCGCCTAAACTCTCTTGCCTAGCTAGGACTCTCCTAGCTATGGCTCCTAAGACTACCGCTTATCTTGACATGTAAGAGGGTGCTAGTGGGTACAGGACGATTAGGAGCGCGTTAGCCTAGGCTCGATTTAGGCACACAGACAGAAGGGCGATGATATGGGTTCATGTGTGTTCAGGTATGTTTCTTGACGGCTGGCCGTCCTCTTGACGGCTGGCCGTCATTCTGACAACATTCTGACAACGGGGAACCTATCGTCAATTTCGAGGCGTTTATTTTCATCTGCCCGTCACTAATTTTAACCGTCCTCCTCCCTCCCATGCACTTTCCTCCCTGCCCCCCCCCCTTCCCTCCCCAGCAGACCCACGCGAATGACCCTCACCTCATCGTGGTGCGTAGGTGTAACGTCAGGGGCAAATGCCTCTGACGGCCAAGAGGGGTCAAGAATACTTTCAGGCTGAAGATAAGAAGACGAAGATAGAGGATAAGGGCGCATTTCTATGGCGGGTCTGACATCAGGTCATCCGCCCTTAGTCTCTGATTTGTCTCTTCTCAATGTTGATTTGCCCCTATTTTGAACCACTTCGGGTCTTCCGAGCTTCTAAGGACGGATGACCTGATGTCAGACACGAGGTAGGAATGCGCCCTAAGAAGACGGCCAAGCTGCTCTGAAGTCAAGGCGCTGCTGTGGAGGCTCAAGTGGAGCTATTTAGGAAGCTTAGGATTAACTCTCGGTTCCGACTTGTAACTCTCTCTCTATATAAAGCTTAGTATGAAATACTCTTCAGTACTTTTCGATGACCTGACTGTTAACAACTTACGTACCTTGGACAGAGTTGGGTCGTGAAATATATTAGGTGAAAGCTATGGCTAGGACATGAGAGTTACGCTTTTCATAATAACTTCGTGCCTCGCGTCTCCAGCAGCAGCTATTCGCATGATCGCATGTTTAATATCGTAATAGGACGTACTAAAGCGGATCGAGCCGTGGTGGCGGTAATGGAGGCGTACCGCGACGCGCGCGTGCAGTTTGTCAGGAAAGCCTCAGGTGAACTCGCGGTGAACTCGCGGCCGCGCCTTAGTCTCAGTCCCTTACGCTGTCTGATCTTAGCTTCTCTCAGCCTCGAAGCTTCGACCTCCGAATTCATGGCGCTACTGAGTGAGATTTCTGTCGCATTCCCGCCTCCGAGAGTCGTTGGATAATTTTATTGCGATTCGCCAGCTCGCCAGCGCGAGATGCTCCCGCGAACCCCGTAGGATGTCATCGATTCCTGCGAACCCAAGTCATCGACTCCCGCGGAACCAGTATTTTAGCATCCTAAGGGTCTCTGATGACTCTCGGTTCTTTTGACGAGGTAGTTAAATCGAAACCGAATGCGTTTCGCCCGCGTTTCTTCCTCCGCAGAACGCGGAGGCTCTGCTGTCGCTCGGCGCGCTGCATCTGCCCTTCGCGCGGGACAGCATGGCGTCCGTGCGATCCGCTGCGACGCTGTTGCTGGGTCGCCTGGCGAATGTGTCGCACACGTGGTCGGCAGTCATGTCTTTTCTAATTATCTGATTGCATCTCCACACGTCCCGCGTTCTGTCCTTTGCCCCCTCTATCTCACGTCCTGCATCCTGCGTTCTCCCCCCTCCTATCTCGCGGCATGCGTCCTGCGTTCCTCCTTTGCCCTTTACCTCTCATCTTCTCGACCACCTTGCCTGTACATCGCACATTTCCGTAACTCTTTTCTCCCCGTGTGTCATGGCAGCACGAGGCTGAGGCTGAGGCTGAGGCTGAGGCTGAGGCTGAGGCTGTGGCGCGGATGGCCCTCTCAGTGCTGAGTGATGCGCCACGCCACCAGCTGCTGCACCTCGTGTCCCCGTATCGCATATCCAAATATCTCATCTCCCATATCTCATCTCCTCATATCTCATATCCCCATATCTCATCTCTTCATATCTCATCTCCTCATATCTCATATCCCCATATCTCATCTCCTCATATCTCATCTCTCATATCTCATCTCCCATATATCTTTCATATCTCATCTCCCCAGATCTCATCTCCCCATATCTCATCTCCTCATATATCATCTCCTCATATAGTCACTTCTGCCATCCGCTGCAGCTTTATCCTTGCTCCTTTCCTCGTCTTAACCCTGCAGCTGTCATGTTCTTCTCTCTGCCCTGTTCTTCTCTCTGCCCTTCTTCTCACTGCCCTGTTCTTCTCTCTGCCCTTTTCTTCTCACTGCCCTGTTCATCTCTCTGCCCTACTTGTTTGCTCCTGTACCAACACTTGAACCTTGTTGTGTTCTGCTCTCTGCCCTTGAGCCACCACTTGAGCCTCTGCACCTCTAATGCACGCATCCAGGCACTCCGATTCAAGACACTGATTGATTGATGCGCGCTTCCAGGCAGTCCAATTCAAGAGACTGAGTGACTATCTCCCCTCCTCTCTCCTGCCTCCCACCAGCACGAGGGCATGAGGGCCTGCGTGCGCAGTCCAAGTGTGCGGAGAGGAGATTGTCAAGGTTCACAGCTAAACACCTCAGCAAGTGTGTGTGGAGTGGAGCTGCAGCAGCGCGCAGTCCAAGTGTGCGGAGATTGTCAAGATTCACAGCAAACACATCTCAATGATATCACATATGGTACTTGCTTCCCATAGGTTACTGTATACAGTAATTTCACAACTACACTCGTCTGTACAATGGGTGTCGTGCAGTTCCATGTGAGCAAGCAATAGTCAACATTTCAAGCCGCATGGGCTTTTCGTGTCTTAAACTCCTCTGCAGTCCAGCGTTACGGCAGCAGCAGCAGCTGAGCCATCTTGAAAGCCAAGCAGCAAAGTGACAAAGAACCTTTCATGCAACAGTAGCATCTCGTGTCTTGAACTCCTCGGCGGTCCAGCGGTACGGCAGCAGCAGCTGCGCCACCCGTAGAGGCACATGCGCTGACAATAAAGTGCCTTCAGGGAGGTGCTCCTGTGCAGGCAAGGACGGGAAAGGGAGGAGAAAAGAGGGGGGAAAGGGGAGAGATGGAGAGGCGAAACAACAGCTGAGCCACTCGCAGTGGCACATGTGCCGACAGTAATATGCCTTCAGGGAGGTGCTCCTGTGTAGGTGGGGGAGCGGAAAAGCACATGGTGTCACCACTTGATCCTTTCAGTATTTTCACCTCCCAGTCCCCCTACCCGTCTCAACCCATCTCAACACCCTCCTCACCTCTCTATCAACAGCACCCAGCTGGTACATGAGCCCCAGCAGATGCCCCTCCTGGTGTCTCTGTTTGTCCTTTCGGTATTCCCACCTCTCACTCCTCTCAACCGTTCTCTACCCCCCCTCTCACCTCTCTATCCACGGCGCCCAGCTGGTACACGAGCCCCAGCAGATGCCCCTGGTGTCTCCGTTTGATCCTTTCGATATTCCCGCCTCCCACTCCTCTCAACCGCTCTCAACCCTTCCTCTCACCTCTCTATCAACGGCGCCCAGCTGGTACACGAGCCCCAGCAGATGCCCCTCCTGGTACGGGATGATGGCATCTATGCTCACCAGCAGGCCCTGTGACAGACATTCATGGGACGCAGAGGGGCATTCAGGGGCACACACATGGGATCGCAGGGGCACATGGGGAGCAGAGGGGCATTCAGGGGCACACACACGGGATGTCCCGCATCCATATTGTTGAGTCAATATCCTTGTATAGGATGATGGCGTCGATGCGCACAGCAGGCCCTGAGGCACCAGGATTGCACGGCGAATTACAGGACGCACACCATCAATTGGGACAGATACAAGGGAGCAAGAGCCGCAAGAAGCAGTGACTGACGCGCGTTGACCAGCATTGACTCACGTTGACCATCTTTTCCAGCTCGTGAAACAGCCCATCCATGCCCTCTCCAGTCACTGCAGACACCGCCACCATCCTGTGCCGCCCACCCTCTCTCCCACCACCGTCTCTGCCGCCCACACTGCTCTCTCTGCCGCCCGGGTTCTGGTCCAGGATGGCCTCCAGCTGGCGCTGCTGCTGCTGCAGCCAATCAGGCGACACCTGGTCCACCTTATTGAGCACGGTGAGCATGGGGATGTGCGAGACGTCCAGCTCAGCAAGCACTTGCAGCACCGCCGCCACCTGTTGCGCCGCCATTGGATGGCTGCTCAATGGGGGGGAGAGGGGGGGGAAGGGAGAAGAGGTGAAAGGCGCATGGAGAAGGTGTGGGATAGGAAGAGTAAGCAAAGTGAGTAACTAAGATGGGAGGGGAAAAGATGGTAAACGGCCAGGGAACGCGATTGGGAGACGAAGATCGAAAAGTAAGTAGTTCACCTGATGACACACCTGAAAGCTCACCTGACAGCTCACCTGACACTTCACCTGAGAACCCACCTGACACCTCACCTGACAGCTCAACTGACACTTCACCTGACAACCCATCTGACAGCTCACCTGTCAGTTCACCTGACAGCTCACCCGCCAGCTCACCTGCCAGCTCACCTGAAATTTCACCTGACAGCTCACCTGACGTCCACCACATGCAGCAGCACCGACGCCTCAGTGATTTCCTCCAGCGTGGCTCTGAACGCTGCCACCTGGCGCAACCCCATTGGTTGAGTTGGGCACATGCAAGGGGGGCATGCATTGCAAATGGAGGCGTTTTAGAGAGAGCACTCAAGCCGGGTGCAGAACGGTGAAGAGTGGTGAAGTGATGTGAAGGTAGTGAAGAATAAGAGGCAGGTGGGGACGAGTGAAAGCTTATACTCCCAAGTTCACATGTTTGCGGGTCAATGGGCGCTCACCAGCTGTGTGGGAAGCTTCTGAATGAACCCCACCGTGTCCGTCAACAGACACTCCTTGCCATTGGGTAGCTGGGGGCGGGGGTGAAAGTAGAGAATGGGAGGTAGAGAGGAGAAGGGATTCAAGAGAGAGTGGAACCAGCAGCTCCTGAATTAGCCCCAACGTGTCCGCACGCCGGCCCCTGTAAGCCGGATGAGCAGGGTGCTGTTGCCCGCGCTGCTGCAGTGCATGGGCGTGCAGTGCAGCGTATGAGCGAGCAGTGCAGCGTATGAGCGAGCAGTGCAGCGTATGAGCGAGCAGTGCAGCGTATGAGCGGGCGGTGCAGCGTATGAGCGGGCGGTGCAGCGTATGAGCGTTGCGGTGCAGCGTATGAGCGGGCGGTGCAGCGTATGAGCGTTGCGGTGCAGCGTATGGACATGCGGTGCAGCGTATGGGCGTGCAGTCTTGGGACATAATTCCAGTGAGCTGCACTTCCCCGGTGCAACGTATGAGTGTGTGAGGGCAGTGCAGCGTGTGAGCGTGCGGTGCAGCATCAGCATACGCATCAGCATCAGCATCAGCATACGCATCAGCATCAGCATCAGCATCAGCATAAGCATCAGCATCATCATACGCATCAGCATCAGCATCAGCATCAGCATAAGCATCAGCATCAGCATAAGCATCAGCATCAGCATACGAATACGCATACGCATCAGCATCAGCATACGCATACGCATCAGCATCAGCATACGCATACGCATCAGCATCAGCATCAGCATCAGCATAAGCATCAGCATCAGCATCAGCATAAGCATCAGCATCAGCATCAGCATAAGCATCAGCATCAGCATCAGCATAAGCATCAGCATCAGCATCAGCATAAGCATCAGCATAAGCATCAGCATCAGCATCAGCATTAGCATCAGCATCAGCATCAGCATCAGTATCAGCATCAGCATCAGCATCAGCATCAGCATCAGCACCAGCATCAGCATCAACATTAGCATCAGCATCAGCATCAGCAACAGCATCAGCATCAGCATCAGCATCAGCATCAACATCAGCATCAGCATCAGCATTAGCATCAGCATCAGCATCAGCAACAGCATCAGCATCAGCATCAGAATCAGCATCAGCATCAGCATCAGCATCAGCATCAGAATCAGCATCAGCATCAGCATCAGCATCAGCACTAGCATCAGCATCAGCATCAGCATTAGCATCAGCATCAGCATACGCATCAGCATCAGCATACGCATCAGCATCAGCATCAGCATACGCATCAGCATCAGCATCAGCATCAGCATAAGCATCAGCATCAGCATCAGCATAAGCATCAGCATAAGCATCAGCATCAGCATCAGCATTAGCATCAGCATCAGCATCAGCATCAGTATCAGCATCAGCATCAGCATCAGCATTAGCATCAGCATCAGCATCAGCATCAACATCAGCATCAGCATCAGCATTAGCATCAGCATCAGCATCAGCAACAGCATCAGCATCAGCATCAGAATCAGCATCAGCATCAGCATCAGCATCAGCATCAGAATCAGCATCAGCATCAGCATCAGCATCAGCACTAGCATCAGCATCAGCATCAGCATTAGCATCAGCATCAGCATCAGCATCAGCATCAGCACCAGCATCAGCAACAACATTAGCATCAGCATCAGCATCAGCATCAGCATTAGCATCAGCATCAGCATCAGCATCAGGATCAGCATCAGAATTAGCATAAGCATCAGCATCAGCATCAGCATATCAGCATCAGCATCAGCATCATCATCAGCATCAGCATCAGAATCAGCATCAGCATCAGCATCAGCATTAGCATCAGCATCAGCATCAGCATCAGAATCAGCATCAGCATCAGCATCAGCATTAGCATCAGCATCAGCATCAGCAAAACCATCAGCATAAGCATAAGCATCAGCATCAGCATCAGCATCAGCATCAGCATCAGAATCAGCATCAGCATCAGCATCAGCATCAGCATCAGAATCAGCATCAGCATCAGCATCAGTATCAGCATCAGCATTAGTATCAGCATTCGCATCAGCATCAGCATCAGCATCAGCATCAGCATCAGCATCAGCATCAGCATCAGAATCAGCATCAGCATCAGCATCAGCATCAGCATCAGCATTAGCATCAGCATCAGCATCAGAATCAGCATCAGCATCAGCATCAGCATCAGCATCAGAATCAGCATCAGCATCAACATCAGCATCAGCATCAGCATCAGTATCAGCATCAGCATCAGCATCAACATCAGCATCAGCATCAGCATCAGTATCAGCATCAGCATCAACATCAGCATCAGCATCAGCATCAGCATCAGGATTAGTATCAGCATCAGCATACGCATCAGCATCAGCATCAGCATACGCATCAGGATCAGCATCAGCATCAGCATATCAGCATCAGCATATCAGCATCAGCATCAGCATCAGCATCAGCACTAGCATCAGCATCAGCATTAGCATTAGCCTCAGCATCAGCATCAGCATCAGCATCAGCATCAGCACCAGCATCAGCATCAACATTAGCATCAGCATCAACATTAGCATCAGCATCAGCATCAGCAACAGCATCAGCATCAGCATCAGAATCAGCATCAGCATCAGCATCAGCATCAGAATCAGCATCAGCATCAGCATCAGCATCAGCATCAGCACTAGCATCAGCATCAGCATCAGCATTAGCATCAGCATCAGCATCAGCATCAGCATCAGCACCAGCATCAGCATCAACATTAGCATCAGCATCAGCATCAGCATCAGCATCAGCATTAGCATCAGCATCAGCATCAGCATCAGAATCAGCATCAGCATCAGCATCAGCATCAGCATCAGCATTAGCATCAGCATCAGCATCAGCATCATCATCAGCATCAGCATCAGAATCAGCATCAGCATCAGCATCAGCATTAGCATCAGCATCAGCATCAGCATCAGAATCAGCATCAGCATCAGCATCAGCATTAGCATCAGCATCAGCATCAGCAAAACCATCAGCATAAGCATAAGCATCAGCATCAGCATCAGCATCAGCATCAGCATCAGAATCAGCATCAGCATCAGCATCAGCATCAGCATCAGAATCAGCATCAGCATCAGCATCAGCATCAGCATTAGCATCAGCATCAGCATCAGCATCAGCATTAGCATCAGCATCAGCATCAGCATCAGAATCAGCATCAGCATCAGCATCAGCATTAGCATCAGCATCAGCATCAGAATCAGCATCAGCATCAGCATCAGCATCAGCATCAGAATCAGCATCAGCATCAACATCAGCATCAGCATCAGCATCAGTATCAGCATCAGCATCAGCATCAACATCAGCATCAGCATCAGCATCAGTATCAGCATCAGCATCAGCATCAGCATCAGCATCAGGATTAGTATCAGCATCAGCATGTCAGCATTAGTACCAGCATCGGCATCAGCATCAGCATCAGCATCAGCATCAGCATTAGCATCAGCATCAGCATCAGCATCACCATCAGCATCAGCATCAGCATCAGTATCAGCATCAGCATCAGCATCAGCATCAGCATCAGCATCAGCATCAGCATCAGAATCAGCATCAGCATCAGCATCAGCATCAGCATCAGCATCAGCATTAGCATCAGCATTAGCATCAGCATCAGCATCAGCATCAGCATCAGCATCAGAATCAGCATCAGAATCAGCATCAGCATCAGCATCAGCATCAGCATCAGAATCAGCATCAGCATCAGCATCAGCATCAGCATCAGCATTAGCATCAGCATCAGCATCACCATCAGCATCAGCAACACCATCAGCATAAGCATCAGCATCAGTATCAGCATCAGCATCAGCATCAGCATGAGCATCAGCATCAGCATCAGCATCAGCATGAGCATCAGCATGAGCATCAGCATCAGCATCAGTATCAGCATCAGCATCAGCATCAGAATCAGCATCAGCATCAGCATCAGCATCAGGATTAGTATCAGCATCAGCATGTCAGCATTAGTATCAGCATCAGCATCAGCATCAGCATTAGCATCAGCATCAGCATCACCATCAGCATCAGCAACACCATCAGCATAAGCATCAGCATCAGCATCAGCATCAGCATTAGCATCAGCATCAGCATTAGCATCAGCATCAGCATCAGCATCAGCAACAGCAACAGCAACAGCAACAGCAACAGCAACAGCAACAGCAACAGCAACAGCAACAGCAACAGCAACAGCATCCGTTCGGTGCAGCGTGTGAGTGTGCGGTGCAGCATATGCGCGTGCGGTGCAGTGTGTGGGTCCCACCAGCGACAGCACCGGGATGGGATGGGCAGGCCTGTGTGTGTGCGGGGTGGGGTTGTGTGCAACACCAACCCACCTGTGTTCTGCGAGTGGTGGGATCCAGCGTGGCGAACAGCTTATCCTCTGCCAGCACACCCGCGCCTGTAAGCCTGTTGAGCAGCGGAGCAGAAACCCACCTGGGTGCGGCGAGTGGTGGGTTCGAGAGTGGCGAACAGCTTATTTTCATCCCAACACGCCTGCCCCTGTAAGCTGGTTGAGCAGCGAGCTATTGCCCACCAGTGAAGGTTGACCCGAGCGGCCAACAGTAGAACCAGGAAGGAGGACACACCCACCTGTGTTCTGCGAGTGGTTTGATCCAGCGTAGCAAACAGCTTGTCCTCTGCCAGCCAGAACACCGGCCCCAGTGAGCCGGTTGAGAAGCGTGCTCTTGCCCGCGTCGGTGTATCCCACCAGCGACAGCACTGGGATGACAAGACAAGGACCCACCTGTGTGCGGCGAGTGGTTGGATCCAGAGTAACAAACAGCTTGTCTTCAGCCAACACACCGGCCCCCGTGAGGCGATTCAAAAGAGTGTTCCCATGTTGCCCGCGTTGGTGTATCCACCAGTGACAGCACCGGGATGGGCAGGCCTGTGCGTGTGTGGGGGTTTGGGGGTGTGTGCAGCATCCGACCCACCTGGGTGTGGCGAGTGGTGGGGTCCAGTGTAGCAAACAGCTTGTCTTCAGCCAGAACACTGGCCCCTGTGAGGCGGTTGAGCAGAGTGCTCTTGCCGGCGTTGGTGTATCCCACCAGTGACAGCACCGGGATGGGCAGGCCTGTGTGTGTGCGAGTTTGTGGGGGAGTGTGCAGCACCCACACCCACCTGGGTGCGGCGAGTGGTGGGGTCGAGAGTGGCGAACAGCTTGTCTTCAGCTAATACGCCCGCGCCTGTAAGCCGGTTCAGCAGCGTGCTCTTGCCCGCGTTGGTGTATCCCACCAGTGACAGCACTGGGATGGGCAGGCCTGTGTGTGTGGGGTGGGGTTGGTACATGCAACAACCAACCCACCTGTGTGCGGCGAGTAGTGGGGTCCAGTGTAGCAAACAGCTTGTCTTCTGCCAACACACCGGCCCCAGTGAGGCGATTGAGCAGAGTGCTCTTCCCAGCATTGGTGTATCCCACCAGTGACAGCACCGGGATGGGCAGGCCTGCCCGCCGGTCCCTGTGCTGCTGCCGGTGCTCGCGCACTGATGTGAGACTGCGTCTCAAAGCTGCCATCTGCAGAGGGGGGAGTAGGTGGGGGAAGAAAAGGGAAGGGGAGAGGTGAAGGTGCTGCTGCCGGTGCTCCCTCACTGATGTCAGGCTGCGTCTCAACGCTGCCATCTGCATACGCAAAAAGGACAAGGGAGAGAGGAATGGGAGGGAGGAGGGATGGGCAGGCCTGCCCGCCGGTCCCTGTGCTGCTGCCAGTGCTCCCTCACTGACGTCAGGCTGCGCCGCAACGCTGCCATCTGGAGGGATGGGGGGAGGAGGGGGAATAGAGGGAAAGGGGAAAACGAGGGGGAGAGGTGACGATGCTGGCAATGCTATACCCATCAGTGCACTGAGGAGAGGATGAGGCGCAGTGACAAATAAAAGAATCAGCCTTCCCCCATGCCATTCACGCATCGTGCACTGCACTTGTCCCCCATGCCTCCATCTGCTTCACCATGCCAACAGCCTCACAGGTAACCGCAACAACCACCCTTCAATCAACCCTCCCTTGACTCACCCGCTCTCTGATGATTCGTTTGTCCACTTCGATCTGTTTCTCCCCCATGCCCTTCACCATGCCTCCTGCCTGCCGCTCCAGATGCGTCCACATGCGCGTGAGGCGCGGCAGTTGATATTCGAGTTGAGCCAGCTGCACCTGTAAAGGGGAAAAAGAAGGGGAAGTTGAGTGCACGTGTCAACCCTCCCATCCCTCCAGATGCGTCCACATGCGCGTGAGGCGCGGCAGCTGGTATTTGAGTTGAGCCAGCTGCACCTGGTGGGGGCAGGGGAGAGGGCGACAAGGAGGGGGAAGGCCGAAGGGGGAGGGGGAGGGGGAGGGGGAAGGCCGAAGGGGCACTGTCAACTCAACAATCCCTCCAGATGCGCGTGAGGCGCGGCAGCTGGTACTCAAGTTGAGCCAGCTGCACCTGTAGATGGTTGGGGAGGGGAGAGGGCGAAGAAGGAGAGCATATCAAGTCGCATGCATGTGTGTGTCAGCCCCACAAACCCTCCAGATGCGTCCACATGCGCGTGAGGCGCGGCAGCTGGTACTCAAGTTGAGCTAGTTGCACCTGGTGGGGGGTACACAATGAACATGCAGCAGCAAGGGGGAAGGGGGGGGGGGGGGGGGGGGGGGGGAAGAGCCAGACCTGTGTCAGCTCAAGCATCCCTGCAGATTAGTACACATGCACATGAGGCGCGGCAGCTGGTACTCAAGTTGAGCTAGTTGCACCTGGCGAGGATGGGGAGAATATACATTCAGCAGCTGTAAGTCTGTCCCATCCCTGCCCCATCCCTCCAGATGCGTCCACATGCGCGTGAGGCGCGGCAGCTGGTACTGTAGCTGGGCTAGCTGCACCTGTGGGGAGTGGCTGGGAAGAGAAGAGAGAGTAGTGGGGGGGAACAGAAGAGAGGAGAGGAGGGAGTGGGAAGCGGGAGCTGCCACTTCACCCGGGCAAACTGCACCTGTTGGGGAGGGAGGCGAATTTTGAGAGCAACAGGTGCTGCTGTGGTGCTGCACCTCTCAAATCTGCCACTCCACCTGGGCTGACTGCTCCTGTTGGGGAGGGAGGCGGAAGCGGGGGAAGGGGGTTGCACTATGTGCAGGAGGCAGGCTCAGCCTCCTCGGTGTTGGCTCGCTGACTAGAGATGTCAGTGATTAGCGGCGGCGAGTGTGCGAATGCATGCTCCCACACATGCAATGCAGCTAGCCCAGAATGACAGGTGAGTACCCACACGTGCAACACGGCGAGCTCTTTTAAAATGCAACTCTAGCCCACCTGCAGTCCCTTCTCACCTGCAGTCCCTTCTCACCTGCAGTCCCTTCTCACCTGCAGTCCCTGCTCACCTGCAGTCCCTTCTCACCTGCAGTCCCTGCTCACCTGCAGTCCCTTCTCACCTGCAGTCCCTGCTCATCTGCACTCAATGATGAGCGGCGAGTGTGTGAATGCATGCTCCCACACGTGCAAAGCAACTAGATCAGCTCCCACAGGTGCAATGCAGACAGCGCGCCAACACCTGCAAGGTGTTGGCGCGCTGGCTGAAGATGTTAATGATGAGAGCTGTGCGTGTGACTGCATGCTGCCACATGTGTGCAATGCAGCTACCTCAGCTCCAGTACCCACAGGGGCTTGACCATCTCACCTGCAGAGTTGCCTCCTTGGTGTTGGCGCGCTGACTGAAGATGTCAATGATGAGCGCTGTCCGTGTGAGTGCATGCTGCCACATGTGTGCGATGCAGCTACCTCAGCTCCAGTACCCACAGGGGTTTGACTATCTCACCTGCAGAGTTGCCTCCTTGGTGTTGGCGCGCTGGCTGAAGATGTCAATGATGAGCGCTGTCCGTGTGAGTGCATGCTGCCACATGTGTGCGATGCAACTACCTCAGCTCCAGTACCCACAGGGGTTTGACTATCTCACCTGCAGAGTTGCCTCCTTGGTGTTGGCGCGCTGGCTGAAGATGTCAATGATGAGTGCCGTGCGATCACACACCCTCACATCGCCCCCGAACTCTTTCTCTAAGTTACGCAGCTGGCTGCATATGGAGAGGGAAAAGGGTGGAGCAGGCAAGAACCAGGGGGAGTAGAGTGGGCGAGACGCAACAGATCCCGTGCGATCACACACCCGCACATCGCACACCCGCACATCGCACACCCGCACATCGCACGCCCGCACATCGCACGCCCTCACATCGCACGCCCTCACATCGCACGCCCTCACATCGCACGCCCTCACATCACACACCCGCACATCGCACGCCCTCACATCGCACGCCCTCACATCGCACGCCCTCACATCGCACGCCCTCACATCGCACGCCCTCACATCGCACGCCCTCACATCGCACGCCCTCACATCGCACGCCCTCACATCACACACCCGCACATCGCACGCCCTCACATCGCACGCCCTCACATCGCACGCCCTCACATCGCACGCCCTCACATCGCACGCCCTCACATCGCACGCCCTCACATCGCACGCCCTCACATCACACACCCGCACATCGCACGCCCTCACATCGCACGCCCTCACATCGCACACCCTCACATCGCACGCCCTCACATCGCACGCCCTCACATCACACACCCGCACATCGCACGCCCTCACATCGCACGCCCTCACATCGCACGCCCTCACATCGCACGCCCTCACATCGCACGCCCTCACATCGCACGCCCTCACATCGCACGCCCTCACATCGCACGCCCTCACATCGCACGCCCTCACATCGCACGCCCTCACATCGCACACCCTCACATCGCACGCCCTCACATCGCACGCCCTCACATCGCACACCCTCACATCGCCCCCAAACTCTTTCTCCAGATTGCGAACCAGACTGTCTGTGTGCGGGGAGCGGGGAAGGGGGCATATGGAGAGAATATAAGTGTTGTGCGAACGCACAAGCTCACATCGCACACCCTCACATCGCACACCCTCACATCGCACACCCTCACATCGCACACCCTCACATCGCACACCCTCACATCGCCGCCCGAACTCTTTTTGCAGATTGCGCAACTGACTGTGTGCGGGAAGGAAGGGGGGCAGGTGGAAATTAGCAGGGGAGAGAACACGTGGGCGAGAGGCAATGAGCGCCGTGCGATCGCACACCCTCACATCGCCCCCACATTGGGTTGGAAACACATGCATTCAACAGTTTATCTCTGTAATTTGACGCTACATCTCTGTGGGTCGACACTCTATCTCTGTGGGTCGACGCTATACTTGTGAGTCGACGCTTTATCTTTGAGTCGACACTCTATCTGTGAGTCGACGCTCTATCTGTGAGTCGACGCTCTATCTGTGAGTCGACGCTCTATCTGTGAGTCGACGCTCTATCTGTGAGTCGACGCTCTATCTGTGAGTCGACGCTCTATCTGTGAGTCGACGCTCTATCTGTGAGTCGGCGCTCTATCTGTAAGTCTACGCTCTATCTGTAAGTCTACGCTCTATCTGTGAGTCTACGCTCTATCTGTGAGTCAACGCTCTATCCGTGAGTCGACGCTCTGTCTGTGAGTCGACGCTCTATCTGTGAGTCGACGCTCTATCTGTGAGTCGACGCTCTATCTGTGAGTCTACGCTCTATCTGTGAGTCAACGCTCTATCCGTGAGTCGACGCTCTATCTGTGAGTCGACGCTCTATCTGTGAGTCGACGCTCTATCTGTGAGTCGATGCTCTATCTCTGCCGGTCGACGCTCTATCGTTGTGAGTCGATGCTCTATCTTCGGCCATTCCCCCTCAACCCCCACTCACTCACGCCGCGCTGAGCTTATTATCAAACACCACCGTCTCCACACCCATACCCATGCACGCCCACGCTACCACATGTGCACTCAGCACATCAATGCCAACCAGTACGCTGCCATACATTCCCACTCACCCCGCGCTGAGCTCATCGTCAAACACCACTGTCTCCACGCCCATGCCCACCACCACTGGACGCACGGGCATTCAACAGCTGCACACACTAGCCAACCACTCCCCCCTCTCAACACTCACCCCGCGCTGAGCTCATCGTCAAACACCACCGTCTCTACGCCCATGCCCGCCACCACTGCTCGCACACATTTAGTCAACACATGTAAGCTAACTGGTCCCACTTGTCCCACACACACTCCCACTCACCCCGCGCTCAGCTCATCGTCAAACACCACCGTCTCCACACCCATGCCTGCCACCGCCGCTCACACATACATTGCCACATGTGGATTCAACACGTGTGCTAAACCCTCCTCTACCCCCCTCACTCACTCACCCCGCGCTGAGCTCATCATCAAACACAACCGTCTCCACGCCCATGCCTGCCACCGCTGCTCGCACCTCCTCCACCTTGCCTGCTCCAATGTACGTGCGCGGATTGGGGGAGGCAACCCTGAGAAAGGGGGGTGGGGAGGGAGCAGGAAGAGGGGCAGCGGAAGGCAGAGGTTCATATGCCCGCCATCACTGCCCACAACTCCTCCACCTTGCCTGCTCCAATGTACGTGCGCGGATTGGGAGATGCCATTCTGAGAAAAAGGGAACATGGAAGAATGGGGAGAAAGGGGAAAGGGAAAAAGAGGCGATGCCTTAGGCCCATACCCGCCACCGCTGCTCGCACCTCCTCCACCTTCCTGCCCTGATGTATATTCGCGAAACTGGGAGTTGCTACACTGCCAATGGCAAGGATGGGAAGAGGGGGAGAGGGTGGAAGAGGGAGGCAGTGCTTTTGATGCCCACCACCGCTCGCACCGCCCCCATCTTGCTTCTTCCTAGTACCTCTCACACACCTCTTTGATCTCTCCACCCCACCTCTGGTGCATGCTGCCAACGACCCTGAGACTGGCCGTCTCCACCAGCTGAGACAGCTCCGCTAGCGACTCCTCTATGGGGAACAGTGTGGGCGCGGAGGCGGAGGCGGAGGCGGTGGAGGGGGAGGGGGAAGTGGGTGCAGGGGGCCTCACCTCTGGTGTGTAGAACCAACAACCCTCAGCCCAGCTATCTCCACCAGCTGAGTCAGCTCCGCCAAGCGACTCTTCTACGGGGAACAGCGCAGGGGCAAGGAAATAGCGCCTACAGACCCTGCTGCGAATACAAAAAGCTTGTAGCATCACTAGAACCTTCTCCCCACCTCACCTCTGGTGCGTAGAGCCTACGACCTTCAGCCCGGCTGTCTCCACCAGCTGCGACAGCTCCGCTAGCGACTCCTCTATGGGGAACAGCGTGGGCGCGGAGGGGGAGGCGATGGAGGAGGAAGGGGAGGAAGCAAGGAAACAGCGCCTAACGATTCACCTCTGGTGCGTTCTGCCTACGACCTTCAGCCCAGCCGTCTCCACCAGCTGCGACAGCTCCGCTAGCGACTCCTCTATGGGGAACAGTGTGGGCGCGGAGGGGGAGGCGGAGGCGGAGGCGGGGGAGGGGGAGGCGGGTGCAGAGGGCCTGACCTCGACTCCCACCAGAAAAGCTCTCTCCTCGAGAATCTGACAAGACGAGAGGGGACAAGAGAGGGGGGAGAGAGGAGGGGAGGCAGAGGCGGAGGGGTGAGGGGGAAGTGGGTGCAGAGGGCCTGACCTCCACACCCACCAGGAAAGCCCTCTCCTCGAGAATCTGACAGGGGGGAGGGAGAGGGGAGAGGGAGAGGGGGGAAGGGGGAGCGGTGAGCAGAGAGTGGAGGCGGAGGGGGAGCGGGAGGCGGAGGGGGATTGGGGTGCAGAGGGCCTGACCTCCACGCCCACCAGAAAAGCTCGCTCCTCTAGAATCTGACAGGCGTAGAGGGGACAAGAGACGGATGAGGGGGGGATGGGGAGGGGGAAATTTTGTGTTGCACATGTGCGAGTCGCAGGTACAGGCTTCACTGGCGGTGACAACCGCCTACTTCTTCATCCACCCCTCCTGACCGCACCGAACCTACCCAAATTCCAAAACGAGACCCTGGAATCCGCATCTTCCCCTCACCTCTCGTCATCCCCTAACCTTCTCCCGTCCTCCTACCTCCCCTCCCCTCCTCCCCTCACCTCGCGTCCATTCCTCAATCTGAACCGTTTGGTCATTTCTTCGTCTGACGACCATCCACCTGTCAGATCCCTCCCACCCCCCGCCTCCTCTGACTGCCACGTGGCAAACGTAGCATCCCACCCTTCCCCCTCCGCCTCTCCCCCTGCCTGTGCTTCCCCTTGCCCTGCCCCTTGCCCTTCCGCCACCCCCCATTCCCACCACCCGCCTCCCCCGTCGTCCTCCGCGCTACCGCCCCCTCTCCCCCCTTCCGCTCCGCGTGCTGCTGACGTCACTCCCCCGAGATCTTCCGCTGGCCCTCGAGATTCCCCAAAAGAGGCGGAAAAAGCGGGGGAATCCGGCGAGCTGGCGCGCTCAGGAGGAACCGCGCGGGGAGTTAAACTCGCTCGTCTGCGGAACTCGCGAGACGCGGCGGACACGGAGGTCGCGGCGCTTCGTCCGCCGCTTGGAGCGGACGAGCGCCGCACGCTCAATGAAGCGGGAGGAAACCGACCGCGAAGCGCTGACCGCGCACTCGCGACAAATTCTACATGCTCGGCGCGCAGGGGTGTGCGGTCGGCAAATCTAGGCTGCAGGGTGGTGGAGAAACATTGACTAGATCGGCGATTTCTGATGGAAGGAGGCGCGCGGAAAACGATGGAATGAGTTTGTGGACAAGTAGTGGCGCTACACGAGGCTATCATGGCGACGCGAGCAGCTGGATACCTATCTTGACGGTAACTGGCGATGAATTTAGGAAACCCAAGCCGCGGAATCCTGCTGCTAGCACATGGTGATGTTTCGAGCATTGTGCGAGGGCATGCCAGTTTTTGGAAGCACACGGATGGAACCTTGAATATGCCAGAACGAAAGTGCAATCCTACAGAAGCACGAAGCGTGATGGAAAATGTTGTATTAGTATTTCCTTAACTAGATAGAACATATTAGCTACACATATTACATTTATTGATCTACACTACAAATGTACAGCGAGAACGCTCAAATCGAGAACGCAGCGCGGATCTGCTCTGCACCTACGCCATCGTCCCCCCTTCCCCTAGCCGCTTCGCTGCACACATTTCTTCCAAATCAAATCAGCTGTACGCGGCGCCTCCTCGCATCCCCCAAGCTTGCATTGCATTGCGAGCACCTAAAAATTTTCCACAAGACGGGATATCCAACCGTGCAGGTGAGGTGGTTGAGGATGGCCCACAGTCCAAGCCGATCCGTCTTTGTCGTGGCGAGCCCCGCCGAAAGGGCGATCAGCCCTCCCAGCGAGCCTCGCCCTGCTCGTAGCATCGCGATTGTCCAATCCCCGCACGATTACCGTCCCAGCTGGGCCTATGCGACTTGAGATCGTTCGTCCCAAGGCCGATTCGACTCAAGCGTAGCTGCCGTAGCTCGGAATGCCGCATGCGGCGGCGGCACCTGCGCCGCTTCTTAGGTAGCTGGGGAATATCTCATTCCGCTTCGCGCCTCCGTTCCCGCCGAAAGCGGAACCGTGTGTGTACGCGGGGCCCTGCGGTTTTTCCTGCGCCGCGCGCTGCTGCATGCTAAGCGGGAAGAGCTTCTTAATGGATTCATCTCCGGGGAGGCGAAGCGCGGGTGAATCGGAAAACGTGAGCGCGAAAAGGACGTGTTCGGGCATGCTGACAGCGGCCGCCGACATAAATCTATTCCGCGGCCCGGACGCGAGGGGTACGATGTCGACGGTCTCGAGGCGCGCGCGTTGGAATTCCATTTCCTCGGATTGCTGCTGCGCTTCGTCGAAGTTAAGGCAGACGGATTTAATGTCTGAGAAGTCGAGCTCGCCCTGCTCGTTCTCCTCGGGCTCGCAATAGTAGTCGTCGGCTGCCGAAGCGGACTCGCGGGCGGAATAGGCGGACGCGGCTTGTGATTGGTGCTCGTGCCAGGAGCTTTGCGAAGAGGCTGGAGAGAAGAGAACGGGGAGAGACAAGAGACGAAGAGCACAGGTCAGTGACTTCGTACTCACTTACGACGCGGCACGTACGATTGAAACGAGGTGGAATTAGTAGAACGCGAGGACGTGTCAAAGATACTCACTTTCGGAGGCTGCTGCGCTGCTCGCTCGCAGAAGTTTCTCGCGAAGCGACGATTCCCTCATCGTCGCCGTCTGCTGCGACACCGCGCGAGGGTCGCTCGATTGTCGCCACGCGCGATTCGCCGGCGACTGGCCCGACGCGTCAGACGACGCGCAGCTGAAGCTCGGCATGAGCGGCGTCACGGGTGACCCGGTGTAGCTGCCGTAGTCGCTGATTCCCGCTACGGACGCCACGTTGGTGTTCTTACTCCCGGAATTGACCGACGTGAATCGCGCGTTGCCGCCCATCTGCTGCTGCAGCAGTTGCTGCGCGAGTGACACGCGGCCAGTCGACGGGCGGCTATTACCCGACGACGTGTTAGAAGGGGTATCGGAGATTATCGAGAGCGCCCCCGAGTTGTTCGCGGAGTTGGGCTGGGAGGTCGGCGCGCTGCCGAGGCCGCTTCTGGGGGAAGATACGGCGGAGCGCGGCGAGTTGAGGTCGTTGAAGCCGCAGATGTCGGAGAGGTTCGCCACACTGTCGGAGTCCGAGTCGCCGCAGATGTCGGAGAGATCCACCGCGCTGTCGGGGAAGCGCGGATCGGCGGCGTTTACGAGCGCGGGCGGCTGCTTCCGCCACTCATCATTTCCTGTGGCGCTGTCGGTGTGCAGAGCAAACTTGCTGAAGTGCGGGGCTGCAGACTCGTCCCCCCACTGGCTGGCTGTGACTGTGGCCATGTTGATCGCTAGTACTTACGGGTTTTTCGCGATGGGTCGACCAGAAACTGCTTCGTGTCGTTTGTAAATGGCGCTTGATTTGCTGTCGAGAGGTGGAGTGTCACGCGGTTTTGGTGTGTGAGCGACGCTTCAAGATGTTTAGCTGTCTGGAGCGGAGCTTGCCTTAGACTGGAGGCGGGAAGATAAGGTCTCGAAAGTAAAGGTTGCGTTTGCTTGTGTTTGCCTCGCTGGAACTCCCTCTTTGTAGGTGGCTGACCCCTCGCCACTATCCCGTCCTTGCTGGATGCTTGGATGGGAAAATTGGAGAGTTCTGGGCCGTGCGTGTGTGGGGTGAGGGGTTCGATCGAGCCGCTTCTGCTGCTAGACGCGCTTCGCGCCACCCCTCGTCCCCTCGCTCCCTCCCCCCTCATCTTCCTGTTTTTTCGCGTCTCTCCCCCTACCCTCCTCCCATATGGCGTGGATGAACAGTGGAAATGTATCGTTCCGTTATCCACCCTGCCAACGCGAATGCACGGAACGCGAATGAACAGAGCCCCACTGAGGGAGTGAGGTTTGCCGAAAGTAGGGACCACAATACAGTACTTGGTACGTGTATGTCACCGCTCGGTACCCGATCTGGAATTCCTCCTCTTTGCTAAGCATTGTCGGATATTTGGGTTGCTGAAGGGTAGCATTCGGATTACGTCTCAGCAAATGCTAAGTTCTGGAAGGATGTCGTCTGATGAAGATCACCACTGTCATATTTGGGGCTAGCAGGTACTACTTTTCACAACAACGTAGAAACACGGCGGAACGAAAGGAAGAGAATGAGAACTATGCGTGTTCCGACTCGGTTCAGTGCAGCTTTTACCGCCGACCTGTAACGAACCATAGCCACAAGGCGTCAACACTTTCGTCAAAACACAAAGCCATCCTCTGGCGAGATCTCCGCAACTGTAAACGCATGCCCGTCTATGTAACGCAGGTTTTGCACAGTAGAAACACAAGATAAATTTCGCGGTTGGTAAAGCAAACAACGTCCACGCTGGATTGATGAACCAACCACAAGCATCCAAAGTTTTTGCATCCCTTCCCGCCACTTCACCGCACATGGGCCATTAAGCCTTGAACAGTATAAGCCATGGGGCGCACAGCGAACCACAGAAACAGCAGCGTTGTAAAAAACACGTGCACTTTAAATGCACAGCTGTACGATCAACAAACAGCCAAGCCGAGGAGTCGGATAGGTCCAAGGTTCAACGGATCCGTTAGGCATCTGACACGTGCTGCTGACTGCGCCAATTCATCGGTGGATAAGATCTGTCCGTTCCCACCAACTCCACGTTCGGCCACGAAAAAGATACGGAACCGAGCCGACTCTTGGGCAAACCGTGTGTGACTTTTCGTCCGCGTCGACGTCTGTCCTCGTCACGTTTTTGGGCTTCCAACAGCAGAAATTGATTGACTGAAACCAAAGAGAAACCCTGACGAGCACGCAAACTTAGGGCGCGTAACCTTTTCACTTTTCATCAGCCGGACGGAGGACCCGTACGGACTTTTGAAGGGTTACGTATTTCGCCTAGTTTCGTTATTGAGTTCGTGAGACCCCTTGCGACATCGCGATCGTCCGTACGAGTTCTGACACTTTTCTGCTTGTTCATCGTCCGTTCTACACTCCTGACGTCGTCCGGACAGCATTTCGGACCGTCCGGAACTCCTGCAACGTCATTGGTGCGCGAAGCACATTTTTTATCAGTTCTGACGACTCGGTTTCCTGCTCGCCAGAACCACGTTTTGACGGAAAGGCAACACAGAAGTTCCACTATCGTCCGGACGAGCACACAGACTCACAGCACTACAAAAAAGCGAACTCTCTACAGTCCGGCTTTTTTCTGACACAACTTCATGCATGCGAAGCGGCCGGTTTGCTGACGAGGTGGGTTATAAGCGTTACTTTTTCGCTCAAAATGCAGTTTTCGCAAGTGCAAAAAAGTGTCATAATAGGGGTACGGACTCATCGTCGTCCGTACCACATCCCCAACCGTCCGGACGGAGCTCCGTTCGGACGATTTGGGGCCCCCGTCCGGACATTTGCCCGAAACGGAAAAAGTTACGCGCCCTCAGGAATGATGTATGTACCTAACAGAGGGTCGGGCTTCTAGTGATAAAGAACCTATTTCAAGTGAATTAGATTGTGTTCATGTTATGAATGAACTTGTCAGAGTGCGCAGATATCGAATAACGAGAATGTTGAACTACCGAATGCCTGAACAATGAAGTAGCGAGGCCTAAATAGGGGAAAACCTAGCTAGGCGGGGATGGTGTGGTAGAGTTGGCTCGCGAAGTGTCGCGATTGGTGCGGAGGCGGCTCGGTGAGGTTGGGATGCGAAATTGTAGGCCGAACCAGTTGGTCGCGTGGCCCTCGGGATGGCCTCGCTATCGAGCGCCTCAGTAAGGATTTGTAAATCCTTACACTCTCCCACCTCCTAAATAAGGCAGCCCTGTACTGAAAAGGGTCACCCAGTAGCGAGGATGCCGTTGATCTTCACTTCAGCTGAATCCGACGGCTGAAATGCCCCAGACAATATTGTTGAAAAGGTTGGAATGTCGGCCGTTGATGTTGTCAGATTTCGATCTGACGGTCGAAGATGAAGTGACCTCAATTGTAATGAAAGTTGGATTGTGAGCCGTAGATGCATATGCTGTAGATCCGACGGTCGAAGCAGATGCGAAAAGGGAGGGAACCTGCTGACGCGAATTCAAACGCAATTGAGCAGGAACCGTAGATCGTGTCGGTGTGATCGCGGTCGTCCGTCGTGCTGTCGCAACCTGACAAAGTCAGAAAAGGACCAAGAAAACGCCAAGGAAAGAACAGTGCGAAGCACTTTCTCCCCCACTCCAAGAAAACACACCATAAAAGTTCCAGCAGCTGCGCCGAGATGAAAACAAACAAAACCGGGTGTTAAGTCCCACGAAGGAAGCCGTTGATGGAAGGAACCCAAGTGAAAATGCGTCGGTGTGGAAATGTCGATGTCGAAACCAGGAATTACGTGCCCAAAAGTCGTCAAGGGCGAACCAGCGAAAGTAGACCAGAAACCGAAACCGAAATTGCCGAGTACTCGAACTGAAGCTTTTTGTCTTCACATCGCCAGAATCATGCAGCATCCGCAGCAGTTGCAGCTGGCAGCACCTGACGTGGTTGAAATTAAATATGTTTGTCGTGGGCGGGTCGATGGCGAGTTGTTGGAAGCAGAGTTGGGATGGATTCTCCAAGAATTTTGTCGTAATCCGCCGAGAGTTCGTGGGCAGGGATGAAAATTTGCAGCTGTCTCTCCCCCCCCCCCGTCACTGTTGCCGCCGCCTTCTCCAGTTCGTCGTAAGTCGTTCGTACCCCTTGAAAAGTCCGTGTAGTTCCCGCGCCGTTGCCCTGCGTAAATTTCGCGCGCGTGTAACCAAACTTCGAAAGTACTGCCACAAAATTGCCGCGCTTTCGCCGTAAAACCGTGAAGTCCTTCGTCAAACTCCGAAATCGTCGCTCGAGAAGTAGCCCCGTAAATCCACAGGTCTAGGTGCAGTTCTCCTCCGAAAATCTCAGACGTGCTATAGCCGCCCACCCGGTCACCATCAGTTTCCTTCGGTTACCCGACCCCAGCATGTGGGTTAAATCGAGAACCGGGGACTGCCCTGGGTCTTCCGAGACCGAATTTCACGGAACCTAGAGGCATCAACGCCGTTGACCCCGTCGTCGAAACTGCTCCCGTCGATGTCGCTTAACTGAAAACCACGCAAACTCCCACTGGCGCTTTGCGATGTTTCACCTCATCGCGCGTCACCGGCAGGTAAATCCCGAAGCCTCGGCTGCTCCCACGCTCCCTGAAGAATTTCCCGCGGTGTACGTTTAAACACCCGTGGGTCCTAGGTATCAACCGCACTCCAAGAAACGAAGAAAACACCCTCAGCTTCAACTCCCTTTTTTTTCTTTTTTTTTTTTTTTCCGTAGGAAGATAACCCCGAAAATCGTGGTTGAGGCTGCAGTCCCGAAGTTATTCTCCGCCGTATAGCCCCGACGTTTCCGCCGTTTTTTCCCTGGTACTCCGATGTTCACCCATCTTCGTACCCGCCGGACTACTTAGCGAATCCCAGGTATCCTTGGCAATGTACCGCTCGCCGCGCCTCCATGTAACGATATCAAACCCTTTCGGGGGTCTACCGAATAGACTCCGAAATTCGCGGTGGATTGGTGTACGGGCTCAACCTATCACTCAAGTGATCTGCTGGATCACCCACAACTTTCCCTTCCGTCATCAATTTTTTCGTATTCACCCCCCGACAATTCCGCTTCCCGCCGTTCACCCAGCGTCCGCTTTTGTCGGATGGGGTATCGTCGTTGTTGCCCACGCGAACTCGGCCACGGTGGAGAGGCAAAAACTATCGGAGTCGGGGCAGCCTTAGTTAAAAGGAAACTGTCGCCCAACCGTTTTGCAGCCCGCCGTGCCTATCACGTCACGTAAAATCCACAGCTTCCCGGTCTCAGCTTCGCCGCTGCGCCGTCGATTCGTGTAGACGCCCGGGTCAGGAGAAACCTGTAGACTGCACCATTTCTTCTTCGCAGCTCCCCGACTTTTTCGCGTGCCGTTCACCCAGCCCGCTTTTGTCGGAGTAGAACAGTGCCGCGAGCTCCACTTTTTTTTTTTGTATTTTTTCTGTACAGCTGTCGAACGGGCACCAAACCCGGTACCTTTAACCAGCGCAGGGTAGGCCACGTGTTCACCCCCGTTATTCGGCCAAGTAGGTTGACTGCATGAGTCAGAACCAGGACTTGGTGGGGATGGTGAGGTTCGGGCGAAGTAGGGCCGCAGAGCGATTCCACCGGCTTTTAATCTGCCCCCGCAACGTTCTTCAACCCCCGCTTAGCCGTTGGGCCGTTTCTTCTCGCGTGTCCCGGCAGCCTGTACCGACCCCTCCGAAATTATCGGGCGGTACCTTGGACACCGTTTAACCGTGGGTTGTCAGCAGCTGTCCCCGAAAACAATATCTTTGGTCAGGGGAAACTGTTCTCGATACTGCCGGCCAGCTTGCAACAACACCAGGCACGCAGCGTCGCACGAGTTCTTTCGAGGTGTACCTGCCCCGATTTCCCTCGTCGCCTGCGTCCCACTCCTCGTAAGTGCGGTTTAGCCATCGCGTTTTCCGTTGCAGCCCGTAAGCGTCAGCAGGTATGAAGTCCCGTCTGTCCACGAGCACTCCTGCCGAATTTGTTGATGACGCGCCCGCCAATGCAGTAAAAGCTGCCGCACTTAACAGGTCGGGCGGGACGGCAGTTAACTCCCGCGAAGTCGGGCAGTCTTGTGTCGTCTCTCCTCGCCACCGACATTTTCGGACGCAAACTCCTTTTGCGCCTGGCGAGTTCCCCAGCCGACGTTTTCTTCAACAGAAGCTCCGAAATTTTCGCCACAGTGACGCACGTTCCTTGTCGCCAGCTGCCGAGCCACACTCCGTGAGTCGCGCGCGCATGATGACGACGAGCCACCGTTGTCACTTGCCGCATGGGACGGACTCCGAAGTTGTCGCAGCAGTTGTTGACTCGGGTCCGACGGCGTCAACTGCCACACATCGTGACGACTTCCGAAATCTTCGTGCAGGTGCCGACGCAGATCCGCTGACGCCAGCTGCCTCACAGTTTCGAAATCGTCGTTAAAACCGCAGCGGAAATAGTAACTCACGTTCAGAGTCGCGACAGCTCCAGCTGTCCGTTGCCCGGGGGGAGGGAGGCCACGGTCGATCGCGACCGTTCGAGCTAAGGATCTGGCGGTGCCGAAGGAGTGCCCCGTAAAACCATGGCCGCGAAGAGCAACTAACGAGTTCTCTTGGCCGGCCTACGCAACTCCTGGACCCCAAGGCATCCTTACTCGTCCCCCCCCCCGAGGGGTAATACACTCTAAAAAACGGGGTAGGCTAGGAAAGTAGCTCTGATACCAGGTGTTATGAATGAACTTGTCAGAGTGCGCAGATATCGAATAACGAGAATGTTGAACTACCGAATGCCTGAACAATGAAGTAGCGAGGCCTAAATAGGGGAAAACCTAGCTAGGCGGGGATGGTGTGGTAGAGTTGGCTCGCGAAGTGTCGCGATTGGTGCGGAGGCGGCTCGGTGAGGTTGGGATGCGAAATTGTAGGCCGAACCAGTTGGTCGCGTGGCCCTCGGGATGGCCTCGCTATCGAGCGCCTCAGTAAGGATTTGTAAATCCTTACAGTTCATAGAAGCCTCATAAAGTCTCAACCATTCTACCAAATGATTAACCTAGGACATGCAACATTTTGCGAAATTATTGGTATTTCCAAGGGTAGTTATTTGTAAAACACATGTTCAAGGGTAGTAATGATTGACATTGGGCGATAGTAGTACAGACTAGGACTGCATGATAGTTTTACCAGTAACTCACTTGTCCTAGCAAAAGCTGCGGGGACATGCGAACACCTTTTTATTGACATTACTATACACAAAACATACATGTAAACCAAGGTTGAGGATGAAACAGACAATCCAGCCTAATATATTTTCTTACTGTGAAAAAGTTTTTGCGCGCAACGCAGCTGCTAGTGAGAACCATCAGGAAATTACAACGAAAACTAGGTAGCTACTACGATTCATGCTGCAGCCTTGGCGGCATTTGTGTGCGTGTGAGAGTTGGCCTTAAAGCCGGTGTCTGCCGCATGCTGCTGAATCCAGTCCATGGTGATGCTCTTCGGTCGCTCCAACGGCAATCCCAAGGCCCGGTCCCACACCAGCTGATGGGGGAGGAGAGAGATGGGAGGCGAAAAGGGGAGAGAAGGATGAGAGGGAGGAGATAAATATGATAAAGGGTATAGAAGACGGTCAGACGGTGTTGTTGAATCTAGAGGCAGTGATTGTGGCAAGGGGATGGGGATAGAGAATGGCAGGGGGCGTGGCAGAGAGTGTGTGATGAAGCAGTGGCACTTGTTGAATGAACCTGGGCGCAATGGCAGTGTGGTGTGATGCGAGGCAGTGCGGTGTGATGCGGTGCAAGGCACAGTGCTCACCTGAGAAAGCACGCCCATGGCTCGAGAGACGCCGAACAGCACAGTGTAGAAGCTGGTGGGGGAGATGGGCAGAGGGAGGGAGGAAGGGGGGAGGGAAGAGAGGGGGTGTGGAAAGAGGTTGTTTTGAGGAGAGGGGGGAGGGGACTTAATGAAGCAGACACGCATGGGTCGAGAGACGCCAAACAGCACCGTGTAGAAGCTGGTGGGGGGGATGAGGGTGTGGGGAAGGGTGGAAAGGGGGGAAAGGGAAGAGAGGCGGTGTGGAGAGGGGTTGTTAAGAGGAGAGGGGGGAGGGGACCTAGACAAGCAGACACCGATGACCGAACAGCACAGTGCAGAAGCTGGTGGGGGGGATGAGGGAGGGGAGGGGTGGGAGTTGTGGAGAGGGTTTGTTTGATAAGAGAGGGGAAGGGAGCTGGAGAAAGAGAGTCGCACTTGAGGTCATGCTCACAGAAAGGTTACATGCGGGAACTTCAGAGAAAGAGGAATTCACATCTGTGGAATTTCAGCATGGCTGCTCATCTTTTCCCACTAGTGCTCGCCCCTGGAACCACGGTCGCTACACCCACTTGGCGTGGGTCGTTGCACCCACTTGGCGTGGGTCGTTGCACCCACTTGGCGTGGGTCGCTACACCCACTTGGCGTGGGTGAGCCCCAGGTGCTGCAAGCTCCCGCTCGCTAGCCCCGCACCACTCGTCCCCCTAGATGCTGCAGCAGCACGCCACTCACTAGCCTGTCGCCTCTCGTTGCAACCATGCACAAGCCCAGCTGCACTCACTTGGCATTGGTGAGCCCTAGATGCTGCAGCAGCACGCCGCTGTGTGCGTCCACATTCGGCCAGGGGTTCTGCACCTGCAGGGTAGTGGGGGAGAAAGAGGATGAGACATGCCGGTGAGAAAGTGCAGGGAGCGGGTATGAGGATGCATGCATGAGACACGTCGCTGTGTGCGTCCACGTTGGGCCAGGGGGTCTTCACCTGCGGCACACAGGGGGGGGCACGGTGAATGTGGATGGATACATGGACATGCACACATGACGCACACACGTGCACTCTCACCCCTCGTCTTCTCAACTCCTTCCCAGGTCCTCGCACCTTGCCCCTCTCGTCTCTCAAACCTTCCCCTTTCCCCCCTCACCTTCCCCTTTCCCCCCTCACCTGCCCCTTTCCCCCCTCACCTTCCCCTTTCCCCCCTCACCTTCCCCTTTCCCCCCTCACCTTCCCCCTTTCCCCCCTCACCTTCCCCCATTCCCCACTCACCTTCCCAGTCTCCTGCAGTATGGGCGGCACCACCTCGTACAGGTCTGATACCTGCAGTCAACAAAGTCAACGCAGTCAACACAGCATGGGCGGGGAACCAACACAGGAGAGTGATCGGCACAGTCAATGCAGTCAACATAGTATGGGCGGCACGAAGCCAATCACTTGCGGTCAACGCAGTCAATGCAGTCAAAGAAGTTAAGGGCAGGGAACACAGTCAACGGTGAAGGTGAGCATGACAGTCAACACAGTCAACGGTGTAGCAGGGGGGAGGTGAGCAATGTAGCCAATCTAGTCATTACAGTCAGTGCAGTCAACGGAGTCAGCAAAGCATGCACCAGAACGGTCAATGCAGTCAACCCAGTCAACGCAGCTCTTACCAGCTGCACCATGGGGTCATGGGCCATGTACTGCCGGGCAAACTCCCGCTGGCACGAGTAGCGCGGGTCGGTCACTCGCAGCACTGCATGCCCATACCCCGGCACCACCCGCCCTGCTGCCAAACCCCTCCTCACGTGCTCCCCCAGCTGATCCTTGCTGGGCCTCTCCCCGAGCTCTGCCCTTAGTGCGTGCAGCCACCCCAGCACCTCCTGCGGTCAGGTGGAAAGGGGTGTGGAGAGGGAGAGAAGGAGGAAAAGAGGGTTAGAGCCATGGCAACAGTACCACCCGCCCTGCTGCCAGTCCCCCAGCTGCTCCTTGCTTGGTCGCTCCCCCAGCTCTTGCCCTGAGCGCGTGCAGCCACCCCAGCACCTCCTGGAACGGGCGGAAGGGGGAGGAGAGGGATGGTGGGGAAAGAGGTTGCTGTCAGCCCCCGCCTCATGTGCTTCCGCAGCTGCTCCTTGCTTGGTCGCCCCCCAGCTCTGCTCTCAGCGCGTGCAGCCATCCTAGCACCTCCTGGCGAGTGGCGGAGGGGGGGGGGCTTAACAGGGGGCACATCGAGATTCGGGAAAGAGACTGGGGAAGGAGAACGTGGGTGGGAGTGCTGTGCTGTGCTGTGCTGTGCTGTGCTGTGCTGTGCTGTGCTGTGCTGTGCTGTGCTGTGCTGTGCATACAACTGACAGGGCTCAGTGACTACATGGACAAGCAAGTGGGTCAGTAATACCATGCTCACTGCCCGTCCGTGTAGCCAGCTCTCACCTGATTGGCCAATCCATGTAGCGGGCCGGCAAGCCCGTTAAGGCCGGCGGAGAAGGCGAGGAAGGGGTCGGACAATGCTGACCCGACGAGGTGGGTGGCATGCGCACTCACGTTGCCGCCCTCGTGGTCCCTGCACGTGCAGGTGCGGTCAGTTGATTACCGCACAGGGGGGAGGATGGGAAGAGGCAATTCATGAGTCGACTCAAAAGTGGCAACGAGAGCAAGGAAGGGGTGTGGCAGACAATGCCGACCCCACCAGGTGGGTGGTGTGGGCGATCACATTGCTGCCCTCGAGATCCCTGCACGCGTGAGTGAATGGTTGAACAGTGCACAGCAGGTCAGGCAGGCGATCAGGACCGGGAAGGGGTCAGGGAAAGAGGCAACAAGAAAAGAGGGAGTATGAAGGCAACATAGAAGGCAATGTGGAGGGAGCGTGCACGGTGGCTCACGCGTGGATGGTGAGATACAGCCGTAGCAGCTCGTCCATTCTCGCATCATCGAATCCCATCATGTGCGCCAGATTCCCCGCATAGTGAGGTGCCAGGTTCCATAAGGCGACTCACGCATGGATGGTGAGATACAGCCTCAAGAGCTCGTCCATTCTCGCATCGTCGAACCCCATCATGTGCGCCAGGTTCCCCGCATAGTCCACATCCTCTCTTGCCGGCCGCACGCCCGGCCGTGCGCCGCCCTCCTTGCAGCTGCGGTTGTAGATCCGCGCGGCGATCTCGGGCAGGGCGCCCATCAGATCCAGGCTGTCGTCTAGTGCGTGGCGCCAGAGGTCCCGCTTGTGCGTGCCGCGGTGGTAGGCCGCTGCGAACTTGGAGGTGCGTTGCAGGGCGAGCACGGCTATGGAGAGCTGGGTCATTGGGTGCAGGGAGGGGGGTAGGGACCATATCACCTGACACACCGCGTCTGTGTTGGGAGCGGGAGAGAGGTGAGAAGGGAGGGAGGGAGAGAGTCAGAGGTCTCGCTTGTGCGTGCCGCGGTGGTAGGCGGCTGCGAACTTGGAGGTGCGTTGCAGGGCGAGGACTGCTATTGACAGCTGGGTCATTGGGTGGAGTGATGGGGGGAGGGACCATATGACCTGACACACCGCGTCTGTGTTGGGAGTGGGACAGAGCGGCAAGAGAGACAAGGGAGAGAAGGGAGGGGGAAAGTGAGGGAAGAAGAGAGTTTGGGACTTGGAGGTGCGTTGCAGGGCCAGCACGGCTATGGAGAGCTGGGTCATTGGGTGCAGCGATGGGGGCAGCGACCATATGACCTGACACACCGCATCTGTGTTGGAAAGAATTACGAAGGAGAGGGGCAGAGAGGTGAGTCGGCAGCATGAGGGGCAGAGAGAGAGGGGTAGGGAGAACAACGCTCATCCTTGGACAGTTTTTGAATAAGTCACACCCATGATAGTCCTGGATAACAACCGGCACCATTACAGCACATTATCCGCGTTATAATCACGTACCAGGCAGTCTCGCTCTGTCCTGCAGCTCCACGGCCAGCGACACTGCCTGCTCCTCCGTGGGTACCTGGAGGTTGAGGAAAAGGGCGGGAGTGGGCGAGGGGGAAAGGAGGAGCTGTAAGCGCGAGTGGGAAGAGCGTGCACCCGCATTAGCGTTGGAAGCCTATGTCATCACACAACCGCACTGCTTCAGTCACCCCGCTATACCCACAGCGTTAGAATCAACCTGTTACAGTCGTTCAACCAGCTCACCTCGCCCCGCTACAGCCACTCCCCAGCGCCTCACCTCGCCCGTGAGCAGCAGCCAGAGCAGCGCCTCGGGCAGCGGCTGGCCACCGTCGAGCGCGGAGGGCAGCTGCGCCTGGCACTCGGGAATGGACAGCCCGCGGAACTTGATGCCCTGGCGGAACGCGGACCGGCGGAGAGAAGAGTAGGAGAGGCGGGGAGGCGAAATGGTGGAAAAAGCGTGAGGCGAAGGGGGCAGAGGAGGCAAGGGGGGAGAAGGGGGATGAGGGAGGAGGGGAACGATGAGGGCGAGAAGCTTCAGTGATGGACGGAGCACGGGAGGGACGAAGACGGCCGGAAAGGTGGCGTGGGGGTTAGGGACAATGCAGGGATGACAGCTGGAGCGGGTGGTACCTGGAGCAGGTGCGGGTGGTACCTGGAGGCGGTGATACCTGAGCGGGTGGTACCTGGTGCGGGTCGAGCTGTGACGTCTCCCAAAGGAGACCCTTGATGCCGCGCATTCCGCCCACCGCCTGCCACGTGGCACGTCGGAATGATGCACACTCGTGATTCGCACTCGATGCATACTCGGACGAGTAAAAGAAGCGGCGACGGTGCAACGAGTGACATGTACATGCAGCGGAGTGGCATCGCGCAACTTCGACGCAATGTCATTCGCGTTCGAAACGGCGGCGGAATAGGGAGGGCTCGACGAGGCGCGCGTGCGCGTACCATGTTGACGGTGACGTCACCCAGGGCCATATCGCCGTACTTGGCTTTAATCTCGGCGAGTCGCGCGCGCTGCTCCGGCACCACCTCCTCCATCGTCTCGCGCAGGTCCACCAGCTCCGGCACGCGCTGCGGCAACTGCACCCCCGCGCAGCATGCGGCGAGCAACGGGAAGGCGAGGCGGCAAGGGCGAGAGGAGGTAGAATGGCAGAATGGCCAAGAAATCAGGAGGCGGCGTCAACAAGGCGATCTCCGACCAATGCGAGACGTTGGGACGAAAGAATCTGAGCGTAAAAGCGGGAAGGCGGCACGGCGCAAGCGGGTGGCGTATTCAGCGGCGGCGCACCGTGGAGGAGAGGCGGTGCGGCGCGGCGTCCTCCACCCCCTTGAGAGCGCCGCCGGGCTTGGAGGCGGCCTGGCGACAGGGGAGAGGAGAAGAGGGGAGGCAGCAGACTATCGGAGGGATTGAGAGCGACAGCACACCGCCCTACAATCGAAGACTAGTAATCCATTAAGGCGCCAAATGGAGGCCGTTTTTCTGCCCTTGTTGGTTAGCAAGAGCTGTTAGCTCAGGGAACGGCGAGTCCATGGGCGCGTCAAGTCAAATCGACAAGACTCGTACCTGTCGGACGGACGACGCAACACGGCTAAGTACACGCCTGAACGCCATGGATTATGAGGGATCTCTCTACAAACGTTTAGCAAGCTGCGGTAATAAGAAACGGCGAAACGATTCGAGTTTAGGGCGTCGGAAATGGAGATGGCGCTGGAGGAGAGCTAGGATCGCGGGTTTACTACGGTGAGCACTGAGCACTCGGACGAGAAATTCAAGAAATGTCTTGTGGGAAGAAGGGATGGGATGGGAGAGAGGTGTTTTTTTTCGAAGCTCGGCTGAAGGATGTACTGCCGAAACAAAAATGTGCAAGAGGATGAATGCGCCTCGACTGCACAAATTCGACCCTTTCAGAAAGAATGCGCAAGGAATTGCTGCCGTGTCACGTGAGCTCGCATCGCATGGAACTGCTCGCATCCTTTCTCACAGGCCCAGCCGAGCTGGCATTTACCCAATCCGAAATGGAATCGCGCCGCTCTCATCCAGGGCATGCCATTTGCGGAACGGCGGGATACTTTTTACGTCACGTGCTACCCAAAGCTTTGGGAGTGGAGTGATTTTCCAGGTGGCGGCGTGTGAGTCGCAATGCATCTCATTCTGTCCAGGGCAGATTCGGGAAAGCCTCTGACTGGTCGCTAATCACGGACACGCACTGCCAGTCACCCGCACGTGTGTTAGTTGCAGCATTGCAATTACAAGCTCAGTAATATACAGTCAAACAAAGATGAGATAAGCACCAAAAATGCTAGACGAACCATGGACTTTGAACATGGTGTTTGAGGCTTCACGCAGCCTCACATGACCTCATCAGAGGCCAGCAATGTATCAATATGCACTGTGAAGAGTTGAGTGGAAGCAAACACCTGCAAAAAAAAGGACATAGATAGTGCATGATACACTGAAACGATATGATACAATGAAGACGGACAAAAATCTTAAATCAGCAGGCCTAGTGCATAATAGAAGAGCGGAGGAGCATGCCTGGAAGAATTCCTGGTCATCCTCTGGGAAGCCGTTGACAAAGCTCTCCTTGAGGAGAAGCGACACCTGCCATGCCATGCCATGCCATGCCATGCCATGCCATACCATACAATGCAATAGCATGCCACACCATAACCACCAATAAAAGACTCATTGGGTAGACAAGGTCTAGGATGTACAGGAGACTTAGAATCAGCAGCAACTGCCGAGAGAGCCAGATGCTGGCGCTCGCACTCACCCGCTGGCCGCCTTGGTTGACGCTGGTGATGGTGTGGATGCGCACGTCGGTACAGAATGTGTCGATGTAGCTCCTCAGCGTTAGCAGGAAACCATCCGCCGCCGCCACCTGCTCTCAAGCTCACACGCACACAGAGAAAGAGGGAGAAAATGGGGACATGTGCACGTCGGTACAGAATGTGTCGATGTAGCTCCTCAGCGTCAGCAGGAAACCGTCCGCTGCTGCCACCTGCCCTCACAGCCACATTCACTCGCACACAGAGAGAGTCAAGGGAGAGAAAACAGGAGCGGTTGAGCGAAAAAGAACAACGAGTGAGCGCAAACACGTCGGTGCAGAAGGTGTCAATGTAGCTCCTCAGCGTCAGCAGGAAACCGTCCGCTGCTGCCACCTGCTTCCCTCTCACACTCTCTCTCTCTCTCTAACACACACACACGCGCGCGCGCGTGCGCGGGCGCACACACACACACACACACACGCACACACACCCCCATCGCCGCCATAACCCATGCGAGCACACACAAGGCGCACATAACCCGTGCAGAAAAAGAGAGAGCTTAGGGAGAGAAAACAGGAGCGGTTGAAAAAGGACGAGTAGTGATTGCAAAGATGAGCCTCATACCTGAAAATCCACCGCATCTTCTGCTAGCCCACCTGACCTTGTCTTGCTCTCACTTTGCTCATTGTTGCTTCCACCTGAGCACCCACCTGGCCCTATGCTTTCCCCTCCTGATCCTTTGCTGTCCCCACCTGATCCTCTGTTGCGCCCACCTGGCCCTCTGTTGCCCCCACCTGGCCCTCTGTTGCCCCAACCTGACCCTCTGTTGCCCCCACCTGGCCTTCTGTTCCCCCCACCTGGTCCTCAGTGGTGCGGTACATGGGGCGCTTGTCAGAGAGTGGCACGGAGGCAGGGTTTGATGAGATGAAACGTCTCAAAAACCCTCTGCTGCGATCACCTGACCCTCTGTTCCCCCCACCTGGTCCTCGGTCGTGCGGTACATGGGGCGCTTGTCCGAAAGAGGCACGGAGGCAAGGGCGGAGTGGTAGGGCTCGAGGCGGCTGTACAGGTCGACCTCGTCTGGCAGGCGCGGCAGGTATGTGGGCACCTTCACCTGCGCACAGGGAGAAGAAGGGAGGGGAAAGGGGGGGAAGGTTGCTCTCAGTTGATTGAAGGGAACGAATTGACTCCAGTGGGCGGAGTGGCTCGAGGCGGCTGTACTGGTCGACCTCATCCGGTAGGCGCAGCAGGTAGGTGGGTACCTTCACCTGGAGGGAGGGAAGGGGGGAGAGAGAGCGAGAGAGCGGGGCTTTAGGCCAAATGGAGGGAAAGGAGTGGTCCCATCTGTGGAGTGGTAGGGCTCGAGGCGGCTGTAGAGGTCCACCTCGTCTGGTAGACGCGGCAGGTATGTGGTGTGGGTACCTTCACCTGACCTTCATGTCCTTAGGATTGTTCACTGAATGTTCACCTTATCCTTGGGAATGTTCACCTTGCCCATGGGAATGTTCACCTTGTCCTTGGGAATGTTCACTCGGATGAGGTTGGTGGCTCGGTCCTTGAGCTCCACTGTCTTGTACTGCATGCCCACCTGCATGGCAACAGGGGGGACGAGCAGCCGAGCAGCGAGAGGGGAAAGGTAAGATGGGAGAAGGGAGAGCGTGGGGGTGTGCGAGGCATGTATGACAAGAGGAGAAACGACTGCTGGAACACTCTCAACACAACCAGCATGCATGGCCTCACGAGGAAGGAGGCGCCTGATGAATTGTGGCAGTTGAGTTACAGGGCGTGTGACAGCGTTAGCGATTTCTGAGCATTCTCAAAATTCGCACACAAGCATGACTCACAAGGAAGGGCACGGGCGCATCGAGGAATGTGAGCAGCTGGCTGGGCAGAATCTGTGGCATGGCGTTGTTGCGATGGGAGAGAAGGGGTGGAGGAAGAGAGGGGTGGATGGAGGGAAGGCCACAGGGATGGCGGCATTGAGTGTGGCGCGGCAGCACAAGCCCGCGCGCATGTGGCCTTGCTTCCTCTCCTCTCCACATCAACATTCACACACAACAGTAGACACCAGTGCAGAGAGCAGCGCACACAGAAGGTGTACGTGCAACTTGTCTTGTGCCCAGTGCCCAGTGCGGAGGAAGGGACGCCAGCAGAGCATGGGCCGACCAAGGATAGGGTGCGGCAAGGGGGAGCGGCACGGACCGGCAGCAGCACGGACTGCCAGGAGAAGGGGCGGATCATGGGGATGAGTGAGAGCACCACCGAGGACAGCACACTCTGCACGCATGGATGGGGGCAAGCGGAGGGGATGGAGAGGTGGGCAATCGTAAAGATGCAGCGGGTGGGAGTGGGAGGGTGGGCGCAAGGCAGGAAAGATGGAGCTGGAAGGGAGAAGAAGTGGAGATAAGGTGAAGGTTGCCATATGAAAAGTAAAAGCGGTGGGGCATTAAGGTGACAGGAGGAGAGCAGCGATGGCACAGCGGCAGCAGCAGCAGCAGCAGCGGCAGCAGCAGCAGCAGAACGCACCAGGTTGGGGCAGACGAAGACGATCTGTCGCTCTAGCAGCACTGCTGCTAGCACTGTGAGGATCTGGAAGAGGTGTATAGGCATGGGGGGGGGAGGGGTGGGGAGGCGAGGAGAGGAGAGGCGAGGAGAGGAGAGAGAGGAAGATTGGGGCAGACGAAGACAATGTACCGCTCCAACAGCACTACTGCCAGCACTGTGAGGACCTGAGGGGGGTGTAGGGGCAGGGGAGGGGATGGGGGGGAGGGGAAGGAAAGGGGAGGACCAGGTTGGGGCAGACGAAGACAATTTGTTGCTCCAACAGCACTGCTGCCAGCACCGTGAGGACCTGAGGGGGGTGCAGTCCCCATCAGGTTCCCCATCAGGTTCCCCATCAGGTTCCCCATCAGGTTCGTCCCCGTGAGGTTCGTCCCCGTGAGGTTCGTCCCCGTGAGGTTCGTCCCCGTGAGGTTCGTCCCCGTGAGGTTCGTCCCCGTCAGGTTCGTCCCCGTGAGGTTCGTCCCCGTGAGGTTCGTCCCCGTCAGGTTCGTCCCCCTCAGGTTCGTCCCCCTCAGGTTCGTCCCCGTCAGGTTCGTCCCCGTCAGGTTCGTCCCCGTCAGGTTCGTCCCCGTGAGGTTCGTCCCCGTCAGGTTCGTCCCCGTGAGGTTCGTCCCCGTCAGGTTCGTCCCCGTCAGGTTCGTCCCCCTCAGGTTCGTCCCCCTCAGGTTCGTCCCCGTCAGGTTCGTCCCCGTCAGGTTCGTCCCCGTCAGGTTCGTCCCCGTGAGGTTCGTCCCCGTCAGGTTCGTCCCCGTGAGGTTCGTCCCCGTCAGGTTCGTCCCCGTCAGGTTCGTCCCCGTCAGGTTCGGCCCCGTGAGGTTCGTCCCCGTGAGGTTCGTCCCCGTGAGGTTCGTCCCCGTGAGGTTCGTCCCCGTGAGGTTCGTCCCCGTCAGGTTCGCCCCCCTCAGGTTCGTCCCCCTCAGGTTCGTCCCCGTGAGGTTCGTCCCCGTGAGGTTCGTCCCCGTCAGGTTCGTCCCCGTGAGGTTCGTCCCCGTCAGGTTCGTCCCCGTCAGGTTCGTCCCCCTCAGGTTCGTCCCCCTCAGGTTCGTCCCCGTCAGGTTCGTCCCCGTCAGGTTCGTCCCCGTCAGGTTCGTCCCCGTGAGGTTCGTCCCCGTCAGGTTCGTCCCCGTGAGGTTCGTCCCCGTCAGGTTCGTCCCCGTCAGGTTCGTCCCCCTCAGGTTCGTCCCCCTCAGGTTCGTCCCCGTCAGGTTCGTCCCCGTCAGGTTCGTCCCCGTCAGGTTCGTCCCCGTCAGGTTCGTCCCCGTCAGGTTCGTCCCCGTGAGGTTCGTCCCCGTCAGGTTCGTCCCCGTCAGGTTCGTCCCCCTCAGGTTCGTCCCCCTCAGGTTCGTCCCCGTCAGGTTCGTCCCCGTCAGGTTCGTCCCCGTCAGGTTCGTCCCCGTGAGGTTCGTCCCCGTCAGGTTCGTCCCCGTGAGGTTCGTCCCCGTCAGGTTCGTCCCCGTCAGGTTCGACCCCCTCAGGTTCGTCCCCCTCAGGTTCGTCCCCGTCAGGTTCGTCCCCGTGAGGTTCGTCCCCGTCAGGTTCGTCCCCATCAGGTTCGTCCCCATCAGGTTCGCTCCCGTCAGGTTCGTCCCCGTCAGGTTCGTCCCCGTCAGGTTCGTCCCCGTCAGGTTCGGCCCCGTGAGGTTCGTCCCCGTGAGGTTCGTCCCCGTGAGGTTCGTCCCCGTGAGGTTCGTCCCCGTGAGGTTCGTCCCCGTCAGGTTCGCCCCCCTCAGGTTCGTCCCCCTCAGGTTCGTCCCCGTCAAGTTCGTCCCCGTCAGGTTCGTCCCCGTCAGGTTCGTCCCCGCGAGGTTCGTCCCCGCGAGGTTCGTCCCCGTGAGGTTCGTCCCCGTGAGGTTCGTCCCCGTGAGGTTCGTCCCGGTGAGGTTCGTCCCCGTCAAGTTCGTCCCCGTCAGGTTCGGCCCCGTGAGGTTCGTCCCCGTGAGGTTCGTCCCCATGAGGTTCGTCCCCGTCAGGTTCGTCCCCGTCAGGTTCGTCCCCCTCAGGTTCGTCCCCCTCAGGTTCGTCCCCGTGAGGTTCGTCCCCGTCAGGTTCGTCCCCGTGAGGTTCGTCCCCGTGAGGTTCGTCCCCGTCAGGTTCGTCCCCCACAGGTTCGTCCCCCTCAGGTTCGTCCCCGTCAGGTTCGTCCCCGTCAGGTTCGTCCCCGTCAGGTTCGTCCCCGTGAGGTTCGTCCCCGTCAGGTTTGTCCCCGTGAGGTTCGTCCCCGTCAGGTTCGTCCCCACATGGCATGGCATGTAGATACGAAGGAGTGTGCAGAACACTTACATTATCAAGGCTGAGAGCACGGCAGGCAGCAGCAACAGCGAAACAAGCCACCCCAGCTGCTTCCTCGGCATGCATGAGCTCCCTCAAAAGTAAATCGTCAGCGTGGGGTGGGAAGCAGCGCTCGTCGATGTCGAGCTCGCTGCGGGAGAAACCGAGCGGCAGCAGGTGGGGCAGCGGATGGAAGAGCATGGCCTGGCCGCAGGGGGGGACCTGGGAGGTGTGGTATGCGCACACGATTTGGAGCGCGTCGTTGTGATGATCCTGAGGGGAAGGAGGGAAGGGGGAGAAGGGAAAGGTTGCGAGTGGGCTGGTGGAAAAGAGCACGAGGCGGGAAGCAGCGTTCGTCGATATCGAGCTCGCTGCGGGAGAAGCCGAGCGGCAGCAGGTGGGGTAGTGGGTGGAACAGCATGGCCTGGCCGCAGGGGGGGACTGCAGAGGTGTGGTATGCGCACACTATCTGGAGCGCGTCGTTATGATGATCCTGGCGGGGGGGGGAAGGGAAGGGGGAAGGGGGGGTTCGGAGGAGGGGCAGCAGGTGGGGCAGCGGGTGGAACAGCATGGCGTGGCCGCACGGAGGCACTGCGGAGGTGTGGCATGCGCATACGATTTGAAGTGCGTCGTTGTGGTGATCCTGACGTGGGTGGTAAAGGGAGGGAGGAGGTGGGGCAGCAAGTGGGGCAGGCAGCGGGTGGAAGAGCATGGCCTGGCCGCAGGGGGGCACTGCCGAGGTGTGATATGCACACACTATTTGGAGGGCGTCGTTGTGATGATTCTGGGTGGGGGGAAGAGGGAGAGGGGGAGGAAGGGGGCAGTGGGAGAAGAGGGCATGCAGCGGATGGAACAGCAGCATGGCCTGGCCACATGGAGGGAAGGGGGGAAGGTGGGGGGATTGGGAGCACAAGGCACGCAGCAGCACTATGCACTGTGCTGGGGGGCAAGAGGGGAAGTAGGGGATGTGCGGCATGCGCCACACCTGCCGTGCATCTTTGTGGTGATTACGAGGGCGTGGGAGGGGGGGGAGAGGGGGAGGGGAGCAGAGGGCGAGCATGAGCTCCCTCAGCAACAGCATGGCCTGGCAGTAGGGGGGCACTAGGGATGTGCGGCATGCACACACTATCTGCAGTGCATTGTTGTGGTGTGGTGATCCTGAGAGGGGAGGGAAGGTTTGAGGGATCACAGAGCATGCTGCACGGGGAGTGGGGAAGATTTATGGCCATATCGCTCCCTAACACGCTCTTGCCCCCTCTTCCCCCCCCTCGCCTCACCTCAGCCCACTGTCGCACAGCCTCCGCCCCATAGTCCCCCTCCTCGCCCTCCCCCTCCCCGCGCTCCCCGCCCTCCCCTCCCCCTCCCCTCCCTCCACGATCCCCGCATAGAAAGCATCATCGTCGTCGTCCTCCTCCTCGTCCGCGTATGAAACCTCCTCTGAATCCTCCTCCTCACTCTCCCCTCCGCCCCCCTCCTCCTCGTCGCCCTCCCCCTCGTACCCGGGTAGTTCCTCATCAGATCTGCAGCACGATGGCATGGGTGGAGAGTGGTGGGAAGTGGTGGAATGCGTGGGTGACCTTCTCAGCAAAGAGGCATGCGTTAAGTGCAGTGCTGATGCCTACCACACCATGATAAGCCAGAACCCGCACATCTACAAATTTTCACAACACGATACGGCACGACACGACACGAGACAGCACGAGACAGAACGAGACAGCACGAGACAGCACGACACGACTCGAGACGGCACGAGGCCATCATGCCATCCACAAGAGTTGCTCCTGCACCACCCCATTCCACACCAACGCAGGCCTGCTTACTCCGAGTCCTCTGTGAGGCTGCCGCCCAGCTCGAGCGACGGCTTGCGTTCCATGCCCCCCATCCACCCCATCGCCCCCCATCCACCCCATCGCCCCCCATCCACCCCATCGCCCCCCATCCACCCCATCGCCCCCCATCCACCCCATCGCCCCCCATCCACCCCATCCACCCCATCGCCCCCCATCCACCCCATCGCCCCCCATCCACCCCATCCACCCCATCGCCCCCCATCCACCCCATGCCCCACACCACGCCATCACACATGCGCCCCACACTCACTCCGAGTCCTCACTGATGCTGTGGTGCAGCTTCAGCGACACACCACACCACGCTACACTGTGCCATCCCACACCACCCACCCAACACACATGCGCTGCGTCCCCACTCACTCCGAGTCCTCTGTAAGGCTGCGGGCCAGCTTCAGCGACGGCTTGCGCTCCATCTCCTTACGGCCCCCTCCATCTCCTGCCCCATCCCCACCGCCTTTCACCGCTTTGCTGGCCCCCGTGCCTGCACGCATGTCGTACTCGTTATAAGGGCAAGGGCCTAACGGGTTATCATCGTCGTCTACAGTCATGGATCGCCGCAGCTTCAGAGACGACCCTCCCGCGCCCCCCATGCGCCCGCCTTCGCCCTCCTCCTTTCCACTCTCCTCCTCATCCCCTTCCTCCTCCTCGCTCTCCTCCTCCCCTTCCCACAGCGTGACCATTTCTTCATCGTCCCACTCCTCATCCTCTCCCACAATACCCAATGCCCCATTCTCTTCAGTCATCAGTCGCACTAGCTTCTTACCGCCACCTGACCCCTTCCCTGCTGCTTGCCCCACCTCCTCAGTCATCAATCGAACCAATTTCTTCTTCCCCCCTGCCCCCTTCCCTTCTGCTTGCCCCACCTCTTCAGTCATAAGTCGAACCAACTTCTTCCCCCCACTCCGCCCTTTTCCCCCTGCCTGCCCTACCTCTTCTGTCATCAGCCTCACCAGCTTCTTCCTCCCACTCTTGCCCACCTCGTTCTTTACCTGCTCCTCACCCTCCTCATCCTCCTCCTCCCCCCCACCCCCCACCTTCCCCCCCCCTCTGCTGCTCGCCCTGCCTCTTCAGTCATAAGCCTCACCAGTTTCTTCCCCCCACCCCGCGCCTTCCCCCCTGCGCGCCCTGCCTCCTCGGTCATCAGACGCACCAGCTTCTTCCTGCACTGCCCGTTCTCTCACTCTTTACCTGCTGCCCGCCCCTCCTCTCCTCTCTTCCGCCGCTTCCCCACCTATCCCTCTCCTCATAGCTTGACCTGCTTCCTCTGTCATCAGTCGCACCAGTTTCTTCCTCCCACTCCTGCCCACCTCGCTCTTGACTTGCTCCTCGCCCTCCTCCCCTCCTCTTCCTCCTCCTCCACTCCCCCTAATCCACTCCCCATTGCCCTCCCTGCCTCTTCAGTCATCAGCCTCACCAGTTTTCTTCCCCCCACCGCGCGCCTTCCCCCTGCTCGCCCTGCCTCCTCTGTCATCAGTCGCACTAGCTTCTTCCCCTGCCGCCCCACTGTCCTCCTCTCCTCCTCTTCCTCCTCCTTTCCTCCTCCCCTTCCTCCTCCACCTCGTCCTCCTCCTCCTCCCCCCACTCCTCCTCCTCTCCTCCTCCTCCCCTCTCCACCCTCCCATCCCTTTCCACCGCTCTCCACCGTCATCAGCCGCACCAGGCGCTGCCTCTCTTTGTGAGCCCTCTTTTCCACCGCACTGTCCTCCTCCCTCTCAGCCCTCCTCCTCGCCTCCCCCGCCTCAACAGTCATCACTCGCTCCAGCTTCTTCCTCCTCCCACCCCTCCCTCCCCCCACCGCCCCACTCTCCTCCACCCCCTCCTCCCTTCCCTCCTCTCCACCTCCCTCCGCCATTCCCCCATCATTCTCACCCTCCTCCCCCCAATCCGCTTCCCCAAACGACACTGTCTTGCGCCGCCGAGACGGCGCCCGAACCTTCCCCTCGTCCCCTCCACCCGCCTCCCCTCCACCGGCCTCCCCGCCACCCACCCCATCCTCACACCCACTCCCCCCTTTCGGGCTCTTTCCATTCCTAGGGCTCTTCGGGCTTTTCCCACTCTTGGGGCTTTTGGGAGCTTTCGGGCTCTTCCCACCCTTACTGCCCGCGTCCTGCTGCTCCTCCTCGCGGCCCTCTTCCCTCCACTCCCTCCCCAGCTCGCGATAGCTCCGCTTCAGCACCCCCGCTATAAACGTAAACCCCCCCTCCATATGCACGTTCCCGTCCCCCCCCTCCTCTCCCTCCTCCCCCTCCCCCTCCTCCTCATCCTCCCCAGCCCCACCAACAAGCTCCCCAGAAGCTCCCTCACGAGCTCCTTCAGTTCCCCATGCACTTCATCATCCCCCATACCGTACCCCACGCTATCCGAGTGCCACATGCTGCCTGCGCCCGCGCGCCGGCTCTCCTCCTCGTGTGCTTGCAGCAGCTCCTTTGGGACCATCAGCCGGCCCCGCCGCGTTGCCTGCCGCATAGAAAACCCCTCCTCCTCCTCATCGTCTTCCTCCTCCTCTTCTCCCTCTCCCTCTTCCTCTTCCCCATGCTGACCCTCCCCCGCCTCCTCCTCATTCCCCTCAGCCGCATTTGCTTCCCCCTCCTCCTCCTCATCCCCCTCTTCCTCCTTGCCTTCCCACTCCCCCTCCTCCCCCTCCTCGCCCCCCTCCGCAAAACCTCTCTGCTCCCCCTCCTCCCCCTCCTCCCCCTCCTCCCCCTCCTCACCCTCCTCAATCCCCCCTTCTGCCATCCCCTCCCCCTCCTCACCCCCCTTCCCCTCCCCACGGTGCTCCGCCTGCAACTGAGCAATGAACCCCTGCAGCCCTTTCACATTCGACAGCCCCCGCAAGCTCTTAAAGCTTCGCCGTCCCGCCTGCTCCCCCCCTCCCCTTTCAACCGCATCACGCCCTGCAGTCGCCGGGACGAGGGGGAGCGCGAGAAGGAGTGCGCGGGAGCAAGCGTGGATACCGGCACTGCGAACGACATCGGGTCCTTCTCTCTCTTCTTCTTGCCGCGTGATGACCCCCAGCGCCCATGCCCATGCCCATGTCATCATCGTCGTCATCGTCGTCGTCGGAGTGAAAGCCGCGGCGCATGGCCTGGATGCCCCCCGCGTTGATGCGCCGCATGTGCTGCTTCATGTGGTCCAGGCGCTCCTGTACCAGGATGCTGGGGGTTGGGGGATTAAGGGGAGGGAAGACAGGATGGTGGAGGGGTGTTGAGAGGTCGCTGTGAAATCCCCCCCGCCGCATGGCTTGAATGCCCCCTGCGCCGCATGTGCTGCTTCATGTGGTCCAGGCGCTCCTGCACCAGGATGCTGGGGGAGGGATGGTGGAAGGGCATTGAGAGATGATGCACGGGTGGTGTGGGACGGGGGGCATGGCATGTGCTGCATTGATGCGCCGCATGTGCTGCTTCATGTGGTCCAGGCGCTCCTGCACCAGGATGCTGGGGGAGGGATGGTGGAAGGGCATTGAGAGATGATGCACGGGTGGTGTGGGACGGGGGGCATGGCATGTGCTGCATTGATGCGCCGCATGTGCTGCTTCATGTGGTCCAGGCGCTCCTGCACCAGGATGCTGGGGGAGGGATGGTGGAAGGGCATTGAGAGATGATGCACGGGTGGTGTGGGACGGGGGGCATGGCATGTGCTGCATTGATGCGCCGCATGTGCTGCTTCATGTGGTCCAGGCGCTCCTGCACCAGGATGCTGGGGGAGGGATGGTGGAAGGGCATTGAGAGATGATGCACGGGTGGTGTGGGACGGGGGGCATGGCATGTGCTGCATTGATGCGCCGCATGTGCTGCTTCATGTGGTCCAGGCGCTCCTGGACCAGGATGCTGGGGGAGGGATGGTGGAAGGGCATTGAGAGATGATGCACGGGTGGTGTGGGACGGGGGGCATGGCATGTGCTGCATTGATGCGCCGCATGTGCTGCTTCATGTGGTCCAGGCGCTCCTGCACCAGGATGCTGGGGGAGGGATGGTGGAAGGGCATTGAGAGATGATGCACGGGTGGTGTGGGACGGGGGGCATGGCATGTGCTGCATTGATGCGCCGCATGTGCTGCTTCATGTGGTCCAGGCGCTCCTGCACCAGGATGCTGGGGGAGGGATGGTGGAAGGGCATTGAGAGATGATGCACGGGTGGTGTGGGACGGGGGGCATGGCATGTGCTGCATTGATGCACCGCATGTGCTGCTTCATGTGGTCCAGGCGCTCCTGCACCAGGATGCTGGGTGAGGGATGGTGGAAGGGCATTGAGAGATGATGCACGGGTGGTGTGGGACGGGGGGCATGGCATGTGCTGCATTGATGCGCCGCATGTGCTGCTTCATGTGGTCCAGGCGCTCCTGCACCAGGATGCTGGGGGAGGGATGGTGGAAGGGCATTGAGAGATGATGCACGGGTGGTGTGGGACGGGGGGCATGGCATGTGCTGCATTGATGCGCCGCATGTGCTGCTTCATGTGGTCCAGGCGCTCCTGCACCAGGATGCTGGGGGAGGGATGGTGGAAGGGCATTGGGAGATGATGCACGGGTGGTGTGGGACGGGGGGCATGGCATGTGCTGCATTGATGCGCCGCATGTGCTGCTTCATGTGGTCCAGGCGCTCCTGCACCAGGATGCTGGGGGAGGGATGGTGGAAGGGCATTGAGAGATGATGCACGGGTGGTGTGGGACGGGGGGCATGGCATGTGCTGCATTGATGCGCCGCATGTGCTGCTTCATGTGGTCTAGGCGCTCCTGTACCAGGATGTTGAAGAGGGGGATTGTGGGGAGGGACGGGATGGTGGTGGGGCATTCAGAGGTGATGGTGGAGGGGGCATGGCTTGAACGCCCCCTGCATTGATGCGGCTCATGTGCTGCTTCATGTGGTCTAGGCGCTCCTGTACCAGGACGCTGGAGGTGGGGGGGGGAGAGGAGAAAAGGTAGGAGATGGGATGGCATGGATGGTGGAATGGCATTCAGAGGTATACACGGGAGGGAGGGAGGTGTGCGTTGATGCGGCGCATGTGCTGCTTCATGTGGTCTAGGCGCTCCTGTACCAGAATGCTGGAAGGAGGGGGGATTCGGGGGAGGGACGGGATGGTGGTGGGGCCGTGCAGGGCGTTGTTCATGGCGAGCACGGAGGGCGGGCGCTGCACTGCACCACCTCCTGCACCACCTCGTGCACCACCTCCTGCACCACCTCGTGCACCACCTCCTGCACCACCTCCAGCACCACCTGTATAACGCTCACCCATCCACCCTGCAAAGCCTTTCCACACTTCTACTCACTCACGCGTTGAGCACTTCAAAATGCAGGTCGAAGAAGGGCAGGCGGGTCAGTGGAAGCAGCAGCAGCGCGGGGCCGTGACGAGGTATGTGGAGAGCAGGCCAGCCGGCTCGCCCAGTTACTATAGTTCCTCCTCCCATACATCCATGTGTAACCCCGCAGTGAGACAAGGGCAAACAGTCACTCACGTGTTGAGCACCTCAAAGTGCAGGTCGAAGAAGGGCAGGCGCGTGAGGAAGCAGTAGCAGCGCGGGGCCGTGACAAGGTACTTGGAGGGTAACCCAGTGGGTTTGGGCCCGTGCAGGGCGTTGTTCATTGCGAGCACGGAGGGCGGGCGCTGCACCACCTCGTGCACCACCATGCACACCCCGTACAGCGTGGCGTTGTCGTCTACGGCTAGCAGGAACACGTACGCATTGTCGTCCGCTGTTTGGTACGCCTGTTGTAAGGGGGACAGGAGCGAGTGAGGCAGTGAGTGCACCACCATGCACACCCCGTACAGCGTGGCGTTGTCATCGACGGCTAGGAGGAACACGTACGCATTGTCGTCCGCTGTTTGATATGCCTGTGGGGCGATGGGGAGGGAGGGCGTGTGATAGAGGGGGTGAGAGGGCGCTGCACCACCTCGTGCACCACCATGCACACCCCGTACAGCGTGGCGTTGTCGTCCACTGCTAGGAGGAACACGTATGCGTTGTCGTCCGCTGTTTGGTACGCCTGTGGCAAGGGTGAGGGGCACGAGGGGTGCAGATGGATGGTGGTGGTGCGAGAACGAGTGGAAAGTGAGTGAGTGAGGGAGGGCGTGAGAGTTGATGGTGGTGGTGCGAGCACAGGGGGTGGTGAGGGTGAGTGAGTGAGTGAGTGAGTGAATGATTGAATGAGAGAGTGAGTGAGTGAGTGAGTGAGTGAGCGAATGAGTGGGTGAGTGAGTGAGGGAGGTGGGGAGAGCATGTAGAAGCGCACCTGGCCATAGATGGACTGATGGAAGCCCTTCATTGATGGTGTCTTCTCCATGCATCGCGCCTGCTCACACCTCACAGCGAGGCCATAGGCAGCCAGGAGATGGCAGCAAGCAGCAGGCAGTGGGAAAGAGAGAGGGCAGGGGGGAAGCACCTGGCCGTAGATGGACTGATGGAAGCCCTTCATTGACGGAGTCTTCTCCATGCACCTCGCCTGCTCACCGCCAGAGACACGGACACGGCAGGTAGCAGGCAGCAGGCAGCAGGCAGCAGGGGGTGAGCAGGGAGAAGAATCGGGCGAGGAGGGTGAGACAGAACAGCAGCACAAGAGCATGTGAGCGTGAACCTACAGAATCGGTGGCTGGAAACTATCAGGCAGACTAACACACGGAGGAGTGATGAAACTTCATCCTATCTCACCTCACCGCACTGCACCGTACCTCACTGCACCTCACCTCAACTCCGTTTGGGAAGCAAAAGCCCGGCAGGTCGGAGGGCGAGAGGGCGAGCTTCTTGCGTGGCGGGTACTTGTACAGTAGCTGGGGGAGGAGAGAGGGAGATAGATAGAAATGGAGCTGAACTGATTGATTAGAATGGTTTATGTGGTAATGGTATTGGTAGTGGTAGAGGTATTGATAATGGTAATGGTAATGGTAGTGGTAGAGGTATTGATAATGGTAATGGTAATGGTAGTGGTAATGGTAATGGTATAAGTAATGGTAATGGTAATGATAGTGGAAGTGGTAATGTTAATGGTAATGGTAGTGGTAATGGTAATGGTAGTGGTAAAGGTAATCTCCGGCCCATCACCCCACCGTGCCTCAGCAGCACAATATACCTGCGCACCTATGTTAACAGCAGAGGGGACAGCACATCGCTGACAGTGCCGTTGAGCTGCCCGCGCTTGTGCTGGTTGAGAGCAGAGCAGCCCCCCCCAGCACAGCACTCCCCAACCCACCCGAGCACCCCACCCTGCAGAACAGCTCACCTGTGCATCGAGGTTGACAGCGGGTGGCGGCACGGAGTCGCTGACAGTGCCGTTGAGCTGCCCGCGCTTGTGCGTCGCGAAGGCCGCCTCCACGGCGCTGAGGTCCGCCTCAGGATGCAGCCCCACCACCACAAAGTGATCGATGAATGTATCGGCTTCCAATAGGCGGTTGCGCTGCACACACAAGGGGAAGTAGCGGGGGGAAGGAGTCACTGAGCGGCCTCCACTCCACACTGCTCAGGTCCGCCTCGGGGTGCAGCCCCACCACCACGAAGTGATCAATGAATGTATCGGCTTCCAACAGGCGGTTGCGCTGCAGACACACACGGGGGAGGTGAGATAGGGGCGGGGTGGGGGAGCAGGGACTGGGATGCGTGGTTACTGCGGCCTGGGAGTGAGTGAGCGGGCGTGTTAGAGGGTTTGATACAGCCTGCTTGGAAAAGGTTGAAGGAAACAAAGCATGCCCTACGCTGTTCACCACACTGGGTGGGGGAAGGGGAGTCACAGCCCTACACTGTTCACAGATTGCACGACTTACGCTGTTGACGGATTGCAGCTCCTTCCACTGCTTCTTGTCGTCCGTCAGCATCGCCGGGTCGTACACCTCCTCACCGCTCCCAACCCCTCGCTGCGACTTGGCGGAGAGCTCCTGCAGGAACTCCTGCACGCGCTCCCCGTCCGCGTGCCCCCCAGCGCCCCGCGCGCCGGCCGGCGGCTGCCCCTGGGGGGACACGGGCGGAATGGCGGAGGCGACGGTGCCCGCGAAGGACTGGAAGGCGGAACCGAACGACTGGAAGGCGGAAGCCACTCCCGCCAGCGCGGTCGAGGGGGTCTGCGCGGAGGGCTGCGGAGTGGGCGTGGCGGAAGTTGCGGGGAAGGAGGCGAAGGAGGGCAGCTGCAGGGTCACTCCGCCCCAGCCGGAGGCGGGGGAGGATTTCGCCCTCTCCGCCATTGGCGCTGCGCGACACGCGCGGAGAGGCTGAGGGTGGCAACGAGCGGGGGAAAGGGGGAGATGGTATTATCACGATCGCCTGAGGAAAGGCAGAACAGCCGGTTCGGCGCGTGATAAATGGAGGTAGCGCGGCAGGTGCATGTGACACGCGCAAGCAACGCGCAGGGGGACAGTTGTCGGAGAAACGTTCAGGGTGCTTGTCGTAGCGTCAACCAGACAACGCCAACCAGACGACGGCAAGTTGCCGCATCAATAAAAAAATGTACTATGCGGTTGTTCTGTGCTGTGCTGTCGCGCTAATTGCTGTTCCGGATTGGATGTCATGGCGTCACTCCCGCCATACACTCTTTTGTTCACCTTCACTCCAACCCAGAAATAATGACCACTGCACTCCCGTAACGTCCAGAGCTTCGCCTAAACTTGTGCGACGACCGGCTTTTTCGCGTCATCGTCCCACGCCGCGTCTTGGTGCAGCACACGTTCGTGCTGTCATTCTCACACGTGCAAGAAATAATTTTACCGAGCCCAACCACTTATTTAGATTTCTGTACTCCTGTCCACCTTGGGCCAACCCCAACCCCACATCAACTGCACCACCATTTGAGCGAACCCCGCAGCAGTTCGGTGTACCGTGCGAGGATAATAACCGCGATATAGCGAAGTGCGGAAACGGTTTGTCGTCGGAACATCTACATCCACACGCAAATTTCCAAATGACGACATTGATTCGTAGGATCGCTGTAGCTCCACGTAATCTGTTAGCGCGTCTCTTCCTAGGGGACTTTTCTACTTGTTCCTGCTGGTTGTGAAGCTGCCACGAGAGCATCGAATGCCACGTGGCGTGGGCTGTGTTGCACCCTCACTCCCCTCCCTAGCTTCCCAAAGCGCAAGCTCTGAGTCAGCAGCTGCCCCCTCACCACCAATCCCTCCTGCCTCCCGCCCGCCACCAGCACCAGCACTTCGCCTTCATGTATTTATTTCTCACCATCATTCGCCTTTCGTTTCGCAATCGTCCGACGCTTCTTCACTTAGCCTAGAAGCCGCGACATTTCCGAGGAATGCGATCGTACCTCTTCGCTCCTCTCTCCGCGTAGCGCCCCATCTACTTCTCTTTCTCCGCGCGAGACCCTCGCTCCCCACCCCCCGCCATGAGTCTTTCCGCCGCCCTCCGCCCCTCGCGCACACTCGCCTCTCCCCGCCTCTCGCCCCCCTCCCCCGCTTGCGCGTCCGCGTGTCGGCCAAATTGGCGACCAGCCGCCGCGTCGCAATGCCCTTCGTCAGCGTTGCGAAGCTCGTTCGCGAATGGCGAAGAATTAAAGCGACGAACATCGCTGAGTCAATTGCCTCAAAGTCGCAGCCAACATCGCCTAGCCGTCAGGGTGCGTATCCCTCTCTTTCCCTCTGCCACTCCTTGCATATTTCCCCATCCCGCCTCCCTTCGCTCTCGATCTCATTTCCTAGCCCCGCCTGCTGCGCTCCTTGCGCAATTGCCACCATTGCGCCGCTCCGCCCACTGCTCTCCGCATCTTCCTTCACTCCTCATGGCCCATCTCCTCCCCATTCCGCCCCTCCCCATTCCGCCTCTCCTCCCCATTCCGCCTCTCCTCCCCATTCCGCCTCTCGTCCCCATCCCCACTCTCCTCCCCATTCCGACCCCCCTCCCCGCTCCGCCTCTCCCCTCCATTCCGCGTCCCCACCAGGCCGCGGCGGCGGGGGCGGGGGCGGCAGCGCCAGGAGGCGGTGACGGGGCGGCGGAGGGCAGTCCGGCGGGGGCGGGGCTGGCGGAGCGCGTGGTGGCGTTTCAGCGCGCGTTCTGGAAGTTCCTGCGCCCGCACACCATCCGCGGCACCGTGCTCGGCACCACGTGAGCGCGCGGGGGAGGAGGGGGGGGTGGTGGGGGGGAGGGAAGGAAGGGGGAAGGGTTGGCTTGTGGGAACGGGGTGGGAGGGTTGGGGGGTTGATGGGGAGAGGAGGGAGGATGGGAGGGGCCTGGGCAGGGAGGAGGAAAGGGGAAAAGGGGCAGAGGGGATAGCACGCACGGGACGGGCTAGAGAGGGTTGGGAATGGAGGAGAGATGACCGAGCGGTGGCGGGGTACTGGCACTTAGCGTTGAGGAGAGGCGCGAGGGCGTGGGCGGCGGAGGGAATGCGCGCGCGAGAGGCACAGGCGCAGGCGCAGGCGCACAGGATTGGCATGGCCGCCGCTGCCCCCCTGCGCTCGCGCGTCATTCTGTGTGTGTGGCATGCGCGCACGCATGGCGCCTCCCCGCGCCCACTCCATGCCATGCCATGCCATGCCATGCCGTGCCATGCCATGCCACGCCACGCCACGCCACGCCACGCCACGCCACGCCATGCCATGCCATGCCACGCCACGCCACGCCACGCCATGCCATGCCATGCCATGCCATGCCTTGCCATGCCATGCCATGCCGTGCCATGCCATGCCATGCCATGCCATGCCATGCCATGCCATGCCATGCACACACCCCAACACCCATTTTCACCCGTCTCCCCGCACAGCACCCACACCACACTCCCTTCCCCCATTCTCCGCGTTCCTCCACAAATACCACATCCCCCCTACCCTTCCCCCCTTCCCCCCCCCCCCCCCCGGCCCGCCCCTCTCCTCCCCCTCCCCCTTGCGCGTGGGCAGTGCGGTGGTGGCGCGCGCGCTGCTGGAGAGCCCACAGGCGATCGACTGGGGGCTCATGCCACGCCCCCCCCAACACCCCCTTTCCGCCTTTCCCCCAATCCCCCACACCCCCCCCTTCCCCCTCCCCCCTCCCCAGCGCGGTGGTGGCGCGCGCTGCTGGAGAGCCCGCAGGCGATCGACTGGGGGCTGATGCCACTCCCTTCCCAACATCCTCCCCCTTCCGCCTTCCCTCCCCATCCCCAACACCCTCCCATCCCCCCCTCTCCACCTCTTCCCCCTCCCCCTCCACCTCTTCCCCCTCCCCCTCTCCCCTCCCCAGCGCGGTGGTGGCGCGTGCACTGCTGGATAACCCCCAGGCGATTGACTGGGGGCTGATGCCGCGCGCGCTGAGAGGGCTGCTGGCGCTGCTGTGCGGGAACGGGTACATCGTGGGCATCAACCAGATTTATGACACTGATATTGACAGGTGGGCATAGTGGGATGTCGAAAGGTGAGGGGCAGGCGGGGTTGCAGGCATGAGAGGTTGAGAGGCACGCTCCATGCTCCATCCCTCCGTGCCCCCTCTCTCCATGCTCCCACATTCTGCTCTACTCATCAACTTGACTGCCCCACCCCATCCCCCACCCTGCTCTTTACCCCTTTTCCTAGGGTGAACGACCCCTTCCTTCCCATCCTTAATACTTTCCCCCGCCCCCTTTCCCCTCTCCCTTCCCCCCTCCCCCTCCCCCCCTTCCCCCCTCCCAATCAGGGTGAACAAGCCCTTCCTCCCAGTGGCAGCAGGCGAGCTCTCCCCCACGCTCGCCGCGCTGCTCTGTCTTCTGCTCTCCGCTGGCGGCCTGGCAATAGTGGCGCTCAGCTTCGGCCGGCTCATAACGGGACTCTATGCGCTGGGGCTGCTGCTGGGAACCGTCTACTCCGTGCCACCGCTGCGCCTCAAGCAATACCCCCTGCCCGCCTTCCTCATCATCGCCACTGTAAGCCGAGCCCAGATGCTGTGTGAGTCCCGATGCTGCCTTCCATGCCCACCAAATCACTTGCTCTACGCGCTGGGGCTGCTGCTAGGGACGGTCTACTCCGTGCCACCGCTGCGCCTCAAGCAATACCCAGTGCCCGCCTTCCTCATCATCGCCACTGTAAGTCCCGATGCTCTGTCTCGTGCCCAACAAACACCCGCTCTACGCGCTGGGGCTGCTGTTAGGGATCATCTACTCCGTGCCATCGCTGCGCCTCAAGCAGTATCCCCTGGGCCCTGCCCGCCTTCCTCATCATCGCCACGGTGAGACCAAATGCTCCTTCTTGTGCCCCACCACCCATCCATTGTGAGCCGTCCTGCCTGTGAGCCTTTCCCCTTCCTGCGCCTCAAGCAGTATCCCCTGCCCGCCTTCCTCATCATCGCCACGGTGAGCCCCCATGCTGTGAGGCTTCCTGCCTGTGAGCCTTTCCCGTTCCTGCCCTCCCATTCCCTTTCCCGGCACCACCCATCACCCCCAACTTCCTTCTTAACCTCCGCCCACCTCTTGCTCAGTTTCCCCGCACTTCTCCCTGATGTTCCCCCTCACCCCCCCCTCTGCCCCCAGGTGCGCGGGTTCCTGCTCAACTTCGGCGTGTACTATGCCACACGTGCTGCACTCGGGCTGCCCTTTGCATGGAGGTGAGTCAGCAGCACCACTGGTGGTGACCAGGGTGGTGGTGGGCGGGGAGGATGGCAGGTTTGGCTGTTGGAGGGGAATTGGGCTGGGGTGGGGCTGCTGTGAGCGCGCTGCGCTGTGATGTTTCACCGAATATGCACTTCGTGCATATGCGATAACAGTTGATGCGCGGGTGTAGATGCAAGTGTAGATTCAGGTGTAGTCTTTGTACGATTACAATTCGTGGGTGAGTTGCTGGGGAGTATGGGGGGTTGAGGCGAAGTTGTTGGGAAGGGTTAGAGGAAACGTCGAGGGGTGGGAATCCAACGAACCAATCTGAATCAACTGGCCCTGGCTCGAGGCGCACATTGAGAAGTGTGCGACTGAGCCAGGTTCAGGTAAACTCAGTACCAAACACCCTCTCGTTGCTTTTCTCCTGTTATTCTCTCATATTAGTGGAAAGCTGTTACCTTAGATCTAGCATCCGGTGGCACGCCACTATGGGAGGACCTACGGGGTGAGGGAGGAAACTCTTTCATAGGGTGGTGGCTGAGGCTAATCAACAACGTAAGGAGAAGGAAGGCAAGGGAGTGACGAGAAGAAGAGCAGGTTGCAAGGGTGAAGCGATTCTCCGACAGATGCGCAGTGCTGCTCCCGTTCACGGTTCACCACAACCACTGAATCCAACCCTGCCCTACCCCACCCCCACTCTGCATTCCACACGCCATGCCATACACATTTGCCGCCCACAGCCCATCCATAGTGTCCTTCACGGGCTCTCAGCCTCTTACCCACCCTTCCCCCTCCACCCCCCTGCTTGCATGTGCCCACCTGTGCGTACGTGCGTGCGTGCGTGCGTGCGTGCCTGCCTGCCTGTGTGTGCCTGTGTGTGCGTGTGTGCCGCTCGCAGCCCGTCAATAGTGTTCATAACGTGCTTCGTGACGCTATTTGCCACCGTCATCGCCATCACCAAGGACCTGCCCGATATTGAGGGCGACAGGCAGTGAGTGCAGCACTAAGCACCACTGAGTATGTATGCCTGTGTGTGCACCTCACTCCTATTCGCGACCGTCATCGCCATCACCAAGGACTTGCCGGACATTGAGGGCGACAGGCAGTGAGTATACCTTGCCCCATCCTCTCAACAAGTGGTCAGTGCACCGCGCCTCTCCTCTCTCCTTTCACCTCAATGCCTATTCGCGACCGTCATCGCCATCACCAAGGACTTGCCGGACATTGAGGGCGACAGGCAGTGAGTATACCTTGCCCCATCCTCTCAACAAGCGGTCAGTGCACCGTGCCTCTCCTCTCTCCTTTCACCTCAATGCCTATTCGCCACCGTCATCGCCATCACCAAGGACTTGCCGGACATTGAGGGCGACAGGCAGTGAGTATACCTTGCCCCATCCTCTCAACAAGCGGTCAGTGCACCGCGCCTCTCCTCTCTCCTTTCACCTCAATGCCTATTCGCCACCGTCATCGCCATCACCAAGGACTTGCCGGACATTGAGGGCGACAGGCAGTGAGTATACCTTGCCCCATCCTCTCAACAAGCGGTCAGTGCACCGCGCCTCTCCTCTCTCCTTTCACCTCAATGCCTATTCGCCACCGTCATCGCCATCACCAAGGACCTGCCTGACATTGAGGGCGACAGGCAATGAGTGCACGTGGCTCTTTTTTTGTTTTGTTTTTTTTCCAGTCCAGCTCGTAACTTCCTTGCGTGCTAAAGAGCCCACATCATCAATGTGCGAATCCCATATGGCTGTACATTCAGTGCACACCTCCCCGTCTGATGTGCCCTCCAATACCGTGCATGGCAGGTTTAAGATAGAGACCTTCGCCACGCGTCTGGGGGTGCGCAACATCGCCTTCCTGGGCTCGGGGCTGCTCATCGCTAACTACTGTGGCGCCGTTGCTGCTGCCCTGCTGCTGCCGCAGGTAAGCACAGCTGCCCTGAGAACTGCTGCCCTGAGAACTGCTGCCCTGAGAACTGCTGCCCTGAGAACTGCTGCCCTGAGAACTGCTGCCCTGAGAACTGCTGCCCTGAGAATTGCTGCCCTGCCGCCACTGGCATGCCTGGGTGTGGCTGGGTTTGGCTGGGTGTTATTGTGCTTGGTCGGGACTCTATCATGCGTCTGGGGGTGCGTAACATTGCCTTCCTGGGCTCGGGACTGCTCATCGCCAACTACTGCGGTGCCGTTGCTGCCGCCCTGCTGCTGCCACATGTGAGTGTGGACTGACACTGGCATGCCTCGGTGTGGCTGGGTTTGGCTGGGTTTGGCTGGGTGTTACTGTGCTTGGCCAGAACTCTATCTGTCACTCGACTGGGGGTGCGTAACATTGCCTTCCTGGGCTCGGGACTGCTCATCGCCAACTACTGTGGTGCCGTTGCTGCCGCCGTGCTGCTGCCACATGTGAGCACTGCTGGTCACTCGCATGCCTGGGTGTTGCTGGGTGTGGCTGGGCGCGGCTGGGCGTGGCTGGGTGTTGCTATTGGGAAGTGGGCATTGTTTAGTGTGGCTTGGTCGTTAGGCCATCGCCAACATCCCATAGCTGTTCTGTTGATGCGACTCTGCCAGGGACTCAATTGTGCTCTTCCCTCTGCTTCCCTGCCTGCCCTCCCTCCCTCTAGCCCCCATCTTCCCTCCTTCTGACCCGCACCCTCGTTCCTCTGCCCTCTGCCCTCCCTCCCTGTGCACCCTGCCCGCCCTCCGCCCCAATCAGGCGTTTCGCCAGGCTGTCATGATTCCCGCCCACCTGCTCCTTGCCGCTGCTCTCGTCTATCAGGTGAGTCGGCCTGTGCCAGCTGTGCCATATTCCACGCGCCATGCTCCATCCCATCGTGTGCCATGCATCATGTGCCATGCACCATACACCGTGCATCATGTGCCATGCACCATACACCATGCATCATGTGCCATGATACACCATGCATCATGTGCCATGCACCATACACCATGCATCATGTGCCATGCACCATACACCATGCATCATGCGCCATGTGCTCTGCTCTCTGCTGCCCCCGTGTGCCCCTATCTTCCGCTTGCTCCACTGCCCCTTGCACTCGGTTGTAATGTCATTTAACTCGCTGTTTTCCACTGTCTTTGACGCGGTGCTGTTGGGTTCTGTGCTCTGCTGTATTGTGCTCTGCTGTGCTGTGCCGTTCTGCCTCTTGTGCGCATTGCTGCAGACATGGAAGCTGGACGCAGCAGCCTACACCAAGGTGAGGTCCACACTCACTCATCTCATCGTTACATTGCACTGCCATTGCACTGCTTTCTTTTCAAGCAATCGGGTTTCTTCCAGCCACCATGATTGTTTTCTCTGTGCTGTATGTGGGGTGTTCCGTTATGATCTTCAAATGCAACCCCTCCCTCTGCCTCTCTCCCTGCCCGATATTACTTCCTTCCAGGATGCCATTGCACGCTTCTATCAATTCATCTGGAACCTTTTCTACTTGGAATATTGCTTGTTGCCAATCATCTAGTGTATATGTGACCAATCCAACGTAGGGAACCCCACCATAGCTTCTTTACTGACATAGTGTAGTTTAGAGTATGGTCTCTGGTTGGCATAGTTGCTTTGGAGAGTGGGTGGAGTGCAGGGCCCAAAATTGGTTTTGGCCCACCCTGTCAAATCAGAGTTCCAGGGTGGGCCAACCCTGACTCCTAGGGTAGAAAATCTGGTACACTGATGAAAACAGGGTAAAAACAAACTTAATCTGATTACGTTAGAAAACCTACAGAGCTAACGATTAAGTTGAGTTCGTTCTCATCACTAGCCGGAGTGTCTCAGTTAGGTAGAGGTGTTGCTGCGACTGGAAAGATAGGGGATTGGATACCGCTGTCGGGAAATTAGCTCTATTTTGCGTAACATCCACTGTATCCTCGCTACGAAAGACTCGGTATCACTGTAACAGTGCTAAAACACTGATTTAGGTCAGGGGAAACAAACGCTAACTCGGATTTCATAAGGGTACAAAAATCGAAACTCTTTTTGAGTCAAGGTAAGAAATCCGGGAGGCTGACTGGGTCAGGGTAACACCAAAAAAAGTGGCCGCCAGTCAGGGCAATCAGGGTATTTACCCTGACATTTTGGGGCCTGGTGGAGTGGATAATAAAATATTGATACCCAATAGTTGTCTCAAATTCCATGGTGAATCGATACCGTTGGCCCTGGGTGACGAGTAGACAATTACGGGGGATGGGTCATCTCGAGAATCGCGAGCAGCAAAATGCAACCAACGCACTGTCAGGGCGTGAGTGACCCACTCACTATTGGCTCGCGACAGAATCCCATGCTGAATCCTTCCCGTCACTCACTGGAAATTTCGCAACTCGTCGCCTGGTTATTTCGCCCTCAACAACAGCTGGCGACAGCAGCACTGGGTCCTTCGCCAGCGGCTTTTTCAAGGAGAATCGCATCCCAATCCCAAGGCCGTCACTTGCAGCACCGTTTCTGACAACTGTCCGCATGGGCAACAGCTACTGTACTGCACTGGAGACTATGCCTCCTAGCTTCTGCTCCCCAACCCTAGACTGACCTAAACAGAGATCCTGCAAGCAATTCAGCACGCCGAGGATAGTAAAGACAGACGCGACAACGCCAGCATTTTTCCCCACAGTTTGTTCTGCTGAGGGCTTCGCGCGAGGGGGAGGGGGGCTGCGCGAGCGAGCGATTCTGGGCGGGTCGGTGCATGGATCCGAAGCAGGGCTCGTCGCACTCCGGCGAGCGGAAGAACCTCAAGCGGAAACTGGCGGACTCCGCGTGCCCCTCAGGCTCGGAAGACAGCGGCGCGTTGGCGACGGCGGAGGTTCAGGCGCACATCGCGGTGCTCAAGGGCTCGCTGACGTGGCGGGAGGCGGATCGCGTGGCGGCGCGGAAAGCGGCTCATGCAATAGCGGAGCTCGCGAAGCACGGTGAGCCGCGAATCGGAGCGCGGGGATTTCTTGCGTGTGCTAAGTGGCATAGCGAATTCCGACTAAAACATATGCTGGAGCGGAAACAGATCGATTAGGTTAGGCAGGCGTCGCCAGAATTCGTCGTTCGCATCCACTCCACTCGAATCCTTGCAAATCTCCATCCATCCGACCCGTGCGTGCTCGGTTGTGCGTGTGCGTCTGCGTGTGCGTGTGCGTGGCACGTGGCGCACGCAGAGGAGCACGTGGACGCCATAGTGGAGGAGGGTGCCATCCACGCGCTCGTGCCGCACCTGTCAGCGCCGGCAGTGGAGGAGGGTGACGGGCCCATCGCGTGCGAGCACGAGGTCGAGAAGGACGCGGCGTTCGCACTCGGCCTGCTCGCCATCAAGGTCAGACCGCGACCTGCTCCCAGTTGCCGTTCCCCGTCCTCCCAGCCACCCCGCCAACCCACCACCACCCCTTGCGAAAGCCCCGCTCTGTCATGACTTGCCTTCGCTCCATTCTTTCTGCCCTGCCACCCGCCAGCCTGCCACGCTCGCCAGCTCTTTCCATCCACCCGCGAGGTTTCCCCTTTCCGCGCACACCCTTCTCCCGCCCAACCTTTTCTCCCCGCGCAGCCCGACCACCAGCGGCGAATAGCGGACGCGGGCGCCCTCCCTGCGCTGGTAGCTCTGCTAAAGCGGCGGCCAGGCCAACCGTCCGCGGCATCCGCAGCAGCCGCGCCCGCATCAACGCCAACCGCCCTCGGTCTCGCCCCCGCAGGCACCACAGACGGCGCAGCGGCAGCAGGCGCGCATGCAGGCGGGGCGGGTGGGGCAGGCGCGGGGGCAGGCGGAGCGTGGGCGGAGGGGGGGAGCGGGGCAAACCCTGCATTGGCGCGCGTGGTGAATGGCGTGGTGCGGCGGGCAGCAGACGCTCTCACGAATCTGGCGCACGAAAATGCAACCATCAAGAGCCGAGTCAGGTGCGCCGGTCGTCTCACCCCCTCCCTTGCATTCCCACTCTCCACCCCCCGTTCCTCTGTCCGTTTTCCTTCCTGCTCTCCGTTTTCCTCTCAAGGTGCTGTGTGGGCCATGTCAACGGACGATTGCCTTCCTCTCTGCACTCCCCCTCACTCTGTGCCCTCCTTCCCTCCCGGTCGTGCATGTGCGTGCGCATGTGTGCATGGGAGCAGGGCGGAGGGCGGCATACCACCGCTGGTGGAGCTGCTGGAGTCGCTGGTCCCCAAGGTGCAGCGTGTCTTCCGAGCGCCCTCGGAACTCTACTCGCCTTCCTCTCTGCACGCCCCCTCACTCTGTGCCCTCCTTCCCTCCTGCTCGTGCATGTGCGTGTGCGCATGTGCGCATGCATGGATGATGCAGAGCGGAGGGCGGCATTCCACCGCTGGTGGAGCTGCTAGAGTCGCTGGACCCCAAGGTGCAGCGCGCTGGGGCGGGCGCTCTCAGAACACTCGCCTTCAAGAACGAGGCCAACAAGAACCTGGTGCGTGCGGCAGGAAGGCGAACAGCAGCCCCGCCTCGTGGGCTGCTGACGCAGCAATGCTGATGCCTGCACACATTTCGACACAGATGCACAAACACATGCACGAGCACGCATGTTCGCAAGGGCACGCGCACACACGCACACATGCACGCATGCGCACATCCATGAGTACATGCATGCACTCAACATCTCCATGGCTCATTCCCTTCTGCGCTCTCTCAGCCGCTTTGGCGCCTGCCTCCTCCTTACCCTTTGCTTGCTGCACCCCCCTCCCTCCCTCCGTCCCCTTTCCCCTGTCCCCTCTCCCCATCCCCCCCTCTCAACCCCCCTGTGCGCGCATGGTGGGCGGCAGATAGTGGAGTGTGGGGCGCTGCCAACGCTCATCTTCATGCTGCGATCGGAGGACACGGGCATTCACTACGAGGCGGTGCGTGCATGCAGGGGCTATGTGTGTGTGTGTTCATGGGTGTGTGCATGCGTGTGTGTGCATGGGTGTGTGTGTGTGCATGGGACTCCCACCGCTCATCTTCATGCTGCGATCGGAGACACGGGCATCTGCTACGAGGCGGTGCGTGCACGCATGCTCATGCTCACACAGGGGCGTGTGTCTAGGGGTGTGCTTGCAGGGGCTGTGTGCATGAGTGTTTGCATTGCTGTGCACGGGTGTGTGGAGGGGTGTGCATGGGTGTTTGCATGGCTGTGCACGGGTGTGTGGATGGGTGTGCATGGGTGTTTGCATGGCTGTGCACGGGTGTGTGGATGGGTGTGCATGGGTGCGTGCATGGGGTGCAGTGAAAGGGTGCCGTCAGTGCGTGCGAGTGTGGCTTGCCTTAAAGCCGCCTCGTGTCAGGGAGGTGGTTGTTTCCGCAATGTCAAGCCCTCAACTTCTCCACCCATCGTGCCCACCGACCCCTGTGCTCCACTGTCTCCCCATGGCAGGTGGGGGTGATAAGCAATCTGGTGCACTCATCAATGAGCCTCAAGAAGCTCGTGCTGGACAATGGTGCCCCCTTCCCTACATGCCCCCTGACCCCTATGATCCGCCATCCCACCCCCCCCTCTCTCCCCTCCCCCATGGCAGGTGGGGGTGATAGGCAACCTGGTGCACTCATCAATGAACATCAAGAAGCTCGTGCTGGAGGAGAGGGTGTCTTGACAATGCCTAGTGCTCTGCCTCTGCTTCCCCACATGTCCCCTAACCTGACCCTTGTGTCTGGTCGGTCGTTGCCGTGTTGGCAGGTGGGGGTGATAGGCAACCTGGTGCACTCGTCGATGAACATCAAGAAGCTCGTGCTGGAGGAGGGAGCATTGCAGCCAGTCATCGGGCTGCTCAGGTGCGCTGCAGCCAGTCATCGGGCTGCTCAGGTGCGCTGCAGCCAGTCATCGGGCTGCTCAGGTGCGCTGCAGCCAGTCATCGGGCTGCTCAGGTGCGCTGCAGCCAGTCATCGGGCTGCTCAGGTAGCCTTTGCTGCGCTGCGCCACCCCTTGTGCTGTGCCTCATCTCCTGTTCCCCGTGGCTCACTTTCCCTCACTTCCACACTGCCAAATTTCGAGCTTGTCCCCCTTGTCCTCACTGTTCCCCTTGCCCTCACTGTCCCCTTTGCCCTCACGGCCACCCTGCCCCCACTGCCCTCCCGGCCCCGCCTGCCCCATCCACTGCAGCTCGCGGTGCACGGAGAGTCAGCGGGAGGCAGCGCTGCTGCTGGGGCAGTTCGCCACCACAGACCCCGAGTGCAAGGTGCGCTGCTGCTCTTTCCATGCTGCCTGCTCTGCAAGGTGCGCTGCTGCTGCCATGCTGCCTGCTGTGCGAAGGTGTAGTATGGCAGTAATCATCCCGTGGCCATGCCTCACGAGTTTTGACACTATCTTTTCGAGGGTCACCACTGCGCTGCGGGTTCCACCTCTCTCACCTCTTGCAATGGACCACACACACTCTCCTCTCGCTCTCACCCTGGTAGGTCTCGTCTCCCACTCCCCCTTGCTGTGCAGGTGCGCATAGTGCAGAGGGGGGCAGTGCGGCCGCTCATCACGATGTTAGAGGCGCCTGACCCGCAGCTCAGGGAAATGGCCGCCTTCGCCCTCGGCCGGCTGGCGCAGGTGCGCTTTTTGAGCATGCAGGACGAGCCTAGGTGCGCTCAGGTGCGTGCAGGCTATGCTCAGGTGTGCTCATGGGCCCGCAGAACGTGAGGCATGTAGAACGTGAGGCATGCAGAACGCGTTTAGGTGCGCATAGTGCAGAGGGGGCACTGCCCCTCTCTGCAGAGTGATGAGCATCATCACGATGCTGGAGGCGCCCAACCCGCAGCTCAGGGAGATAACTGCTTTTGCCCTCGGCCGGCTGGCACAGGTGCGCATGCAGGACACGTTCATGTGCGCACAGATGCGCTCGAGTGCACTTGTGAGCACTGGAGTGCGCGCGCGTGTGTGTGTGTGGGCGGTTGCGCATTTGGGAGCACGTATGCTGAGCAGACCGTGTGCATTTCCAAGTCGTAAATGCCCCTTCCAACCCCGACGAGTCCGCTCACTCGTTCTCAACTTGCACCACTCCACATGGACTGGACAGTCCCGTTCTCGTCCATCACCTACCATGCCTCAGCGCCACACCCTTCGTCCTCCTCTTCTCATCACCCGCGCCCACCAGAACGCGGACAACCGGGCGGGCATAGTGCACGACGGGGGGCTGCGGCCGCTGCTGCTCCCCATTCCCTTCCCTTTCCCCCTCCCCCACTCAACTCCCCACCCACCCACCCCCCCCCCCCATGCTTGCCCATCATCAGAACGCGGACAACCAGGCGGGCATAGTGCACGACGGGGGGCTGCGGCCGCTGCTGGAGCTGCTGGAGTCGAAGAACGGCAACCTGCAGCACAACGCCGCCTTCGCACTCTATGGGCTCGCTGACAACGGGGTGAGGTGGAAGGGGGGCAGGATTCTTTCTGCAGATGGGGGGATGGGATGAGTAGGGGGGAGGATGGGTCGAGCTGGAGGGAGAATGGGCTGAGGGTGAATGATGCTGTATCCGCTTGTAACAAGTAGCTGGGTACTGCTTCACAATGTGTTGCATCTGCTTCACCTTTGCTTCCTTCCATGCACTTCCTACCGTCCCATGCCACTTCGCATGCCCTCTTCTATCCCAGCTCCCAGCTCCCATCCCCTATCCCGTCCCCCCCCTTCCCCTTCCCCCTGAACACGGACTGGACAACGTGTCGGAGGTCGTGAGGGAGGGGGGAGTGCAGCGGCTGGGCTGGTGTACCCGCGGGACCTGCGCCTGCTACCATGCACTCCCTGCACCCCCATGCTTCCACTCATTCTCTCGTCCATGCCCTATCCTTCCCACCACCCCCCCATGCCCACCGGCAGGACAACGTATCAGAGGTGGTGCGAGAGGGCGGAGTGCAGCGGCTGGTGGATGCGGAGCTGATCGTGCAGGCCAGCAAGGACTGCGTGCAGAAGACACTCAAGCGCCTCGAAGAGAAGATGGAGGGCAAGGTGCGCTAGGGGGAATAAATGGAGGGCAAGGCGGGGTCAGGAAGGGGCAGGGTGGGGCTCGTCGTGCAAGCCAGCATGGACTGCGTGCAGAAGACACTCAAACGGTTGGAGGAGAAGATGGAGGGCAAGGTGCGCTCAAGGGGGGGCAAGGTGGGGCCAGGGGGGGAAGAACATTGAGGGTAGGGTGGGGCCACGGGGAAAGGTAGGGCTGATCGTGCAGGCCAGCAAGGTCTGCGTGCAGAAGACACTCAAACGGTTGGAGGAGAAGATGGAGGGCAAGGTGAGGAAGGACATGTGGTAAGGCATGGTGGAGCTGATCGTGCAGGCCAGCAAGGACTGCGTGCAGAAGACACTTAAGCGGCTGGAGGAGAAGATGGAGGGCAAGGTGCGGGGGGATATTGGAGGGGTGGATATTGAGGGCAAGGTGGGGGCCAGCGTGAGAAGATGCAAGGTGCAAGAAGATGCAAGAGGAGGAAGGAAGGGGGGGGCAAGGGGGGGGGGCGGGGGGGGGGGCGAGGGGGAAAAAGAGGGCGAGGTAGGAGAGAGGGCGAGAGGGGGAGAGGGATGACAAGGAAGGCCATGTTGGCTCTCCACCATAAACCTCAACTGCACACGAACGACTCTTAGTCCTCAATTCCTCCTCCACCACTTTTCCACCGCTCTCCTCACACCACGCCCTCCCTTACCTGTCCACCTTCCCCTTTCTTTCTCCCCACTATCACTTCCCCCCCAGGTCCTGCGGCATCTGCTGTACCTGCTGAGGCAGTCAGACAAGAGCGTGCAGCGGCGGGTTTGAGAAGTGCCTCAAACTCTCCCCCCCCTTCCCCGCTCCCATCCCTCCCCCCCCTCCCTTCAGGTCCTGCGGCATCTGCTGTACCTGCTGAGGCAATCAGTCAAGAGCGTGCAGCAGTGGGGTTTGAGGCGGCTCAAAACTCCTCCCCAACCCCCACCACCCCCAGGTCCTGCGGCATCTGCTGTACCTGCTGCGGCAGTCAGACAAGAGCGTGCAGCGGCGGGTTTGAGAAGTGCCTCAAACTCTCCCCCCCTTTCCCCGCTCCCATCCCTCCCCCCCTCCCTTCAGGTCCTGCGGCATCTGCTGTACCTGCTGAGGCAATCAGTCAAGAGCGTGCAGCAGTGGGGTTTGAGGCGCCTCAAAACTCCTCCCCAACCCCCACCACCCCCAGGTCCTGCGGCATCTGCTGTACCTGCTGAGGCAATCAGACAAGAGCGTGCAGCGGCGCGTGGCAGCAGCGCTGGCACACCTGTGCCCCGAGGGGCAGCAGCGGGCCATCTTCGTGGGGGCGGGCGGGCTGGACATTCTGCTCTCCATGCTCGCCTCGCCGCCCTCGCCCCGCCTGCAGCGCGATGCTGCTGTGGCCCTGCGCACGCTCAGCAAGCGCGCCACCACACTCAACCCCATCGACACTGCCCCACCACCGCCCACGCCCCAGGTTTGTCTTTCCAACCCCCAGGTTGCTCCTCCCCACTCTTCCTCGCACCTCCCTTTCCCTCCCCCTGCTCCTCTGCTCGCTGCACTGCTTCACCTCTCCCTCTCATCTCTTGCTCGCTGTGGCTCTGCGCACGCTCAGCAAGCGCGCCACCACACTCAACCCCATCGACACTGCGCCTCCGCCGCCCACGCCGCAGGTTGTGCCCCACTTCCAAGGCAGCCTGCTTTCCCAGTCCCCAAGTTGCTTGCCCCACCACACCCGAGGTCGCTGCCCCTCCCACACTGCTTCTTTCCTCCTGCATTCTTCCTGTATTTCCCTTCCTCTCTCCCAGCTCCCTTGCTTCCTCCACTGCTCTCTCTTGCTCAGGCCTCCCTTCTAAATTCCATTTCGTCCCCATCGTTTTGCGGCCTTCAGTCTTTCTTTCTCCGTCCCCCTCATCTCCTCTCCTCTCCTCTACTCTCCTCGACTCTCAGTCCCTCTTCCCCTCTCAACCTCCTCGTCCCTTCTCCCCTCTTCCCCTCTCCCCTCCTCCTCTCCTCCCCCACACCTCTCCCCCGCACGAGCACACAGGTGTATCTGGGCGAGCAGTACGTCAACTGCCCCACGCTCTCCGACGTCACCTTCCTCGTTGAAGGTGGGGGTCGTTGAACTGCATGGGTGTAGAGTATGGGGCAGGGGGTATGGGAGCAGGTTATACGAGGCATGGGAGCATGGGGCACCTGTATGGAACATGAGTTTCAGGGCATGGCATGCCACCTCATGCATTGCACCATGCCATGCCACCTCATGCCACCAACCATGACATCTCGCATCCCTTACCGTGACCGTCGCCCACCTGCCCTGGCCACCCACCTCGTGCTCCACCCATCTCACCCCTGCCTCTCCTCCCCTCTCCCCCATCCTCTCCCGCCAGGCACGCGCTTCTACGCGCATCGAATCGCCCTGCTCGCCTCCTCCGATGCCTTCCGAGCCATGTTTGACGGCGGCTACCGGGTGCGTGCCCTTCCCTGCCCTGCCCTACCCTTCCATTTTATACCACGCCCTGCCCTGCCCTGCCAATGCCCTTTTATTTCATGCCATGCCATGCCCTGCCCTGCTGTGCCGTGCTGTGCCATGCCATGTTATGCTATGCCATGCACTTGAATCTCCCACTGGTTCTCTGTCAGCTTCATTGTTCCCTCCACTGCACCTCTTCCATGGCCCTGTCTCTCGTCTTCCCTGTGCCACTCTGACGCCTCGCTACATTTTTGCATGCCCGGCTGTGTTCTCACTGCCCCACGATGGCGTGTGTGGCTGGTGAATGAGCAGGAGGAGAAGGAGGCCAAGGACATAGAGATCCCCAACATTAGCCTGCCCGTTTTCGAGAGCATGATGAGGTACCCTCCCACTCCTCCATCCCTCATGCAACAAGCTTCACCCTCCATGTGTCGTTCAATGGCGCGTGTGTTACCAACCGCTGCCTTTGTTCTTTGCACTGTGCCATACTTCCTTTCACCTCTCTGTCCCTCGGTGATCCTTCCTCCCCCCCTCTCCTCTCTCCCCCCCCCCCAGGTGCATATACACGGGGGCGGTGGAGGTGCGGCCAGAGATGGCGCAGGACCTGCTGAGGGCGGCAGACCAGTACCTGCTGGAGACGCTCAAACGCCTCTGCGAGCACGCCATCGCACAGGTGAGCTGTCCCTTTGCTGCTGGGTTCACTCGCCCACGTGGGTGGGCTGCTGGGCTGCTGGGCTGGGCTCAACTGTCCAGGTAGGCTCAACCGTCCAGGTGGGTTCTATGGACCTGCTGAGGGCGGCGGACCAGTACCTGCTGGAGACGCACAAGCGCCTCTGCGAGCACGCCATCGCGCAGGTGGGGCTAAGCCAAGCGAAGGTGAGCTGTCCATCTGCTGCTGGGGTTAACCGCCCACGTGGGGTCAAGTGCATGTGTGTGCTCCACTGCTGGCTGTCCCTTTGCTGCATATGTGCGCTTTGCCCACATGCGCTGTGCGGTGGTTGCTCAAGTGAGCTGGCTCTGGCTTCGCCCCGTCAAGCAGTGATCTCGTCTCATACGCTCTTTGCCGCCTCGTGCATGTTGGATCGTGGGTGCATGGGTGCATGATCAGGATCTGACGGTGGAGAACGTGGCGAATGTGTATGAGCTGGCGGAGACGTACCATGCGCAGTCGCTGCGGCAGATGTGTGTGCTCTTTGTGCTGGACCACCACGAGCAGATGTGCAACCTCCCAGGGTACGACTCACCTCACCCACGCCCACACCTGCCTCCGCGCCCGCACCTTCCAGTCACCTCACGAAAGTTTTGAGGCGCCGCCACTCACGGATGTGTACTGTGTTGCTTCCATCCCACTGTCCTCTGCCCATGCATGCTGTTTGTCACATCAAACAAATCACGCCAACCCTTATCGTGCACGCAACCCCTCTTCCCCCTCCCTCCCTGCCGCAGGTACAATGCATTGCTGCAGCGCATGGTCCCAGAGACCCGTGAGTATATCTCCCGTGTGCTTCGGCCTCGTCTGCCCTGACCTGCAATAATGCACTGGCGCCTCTTGGAGTGCAAGGCACGCGATGTGACGGTTACCACCACTGGATGTAAATTTACCTGCCTGCATTTTTTTGCAGCTCCTTAACATCCTTTGCTGTGTGTAGTGATTCTCAATGGCAGCTGTTCTCATGTGACAGATTCTCCAGCTTATATGTGCACATCTGGTTGATGAATGGCTGATGAATGAGGTAGTGTGAAGTGAGTGATTCCGCAGGCCCATCTTGGGAAACTTATGCATCCCTCTTCCAGTGCAGTGCACGCACACTACACCCAGAGTTGCAGAATGGTGAGATGTTTTATTGGTCTGACCTTACAATTTTGTAGCTGCCTATTTCTACAGATAGTACAGGTTGGTCCGTACAGTGCTTCAGAAACGTGGGGTGCTTACCGTTTCCAGGCCACTCCACGCCAATCCGAACCGAACATGCTGCATAAGGAAGGATCTTCTAATCCCTGTGGTAAACTAAGTTCCGTGCATGACCATTTTCAGCCCTCTCACTTGTGATATTGTTGACCGTAAGTTCGTGTGGCATAAGGTGCTAGCATTATTAGCGGTCAAGAATAAGGTATGTTCGAAAATGAACACTGATGAATGATGAAATATCGTGAGTTTGAAAACGGAAAATACCACCAAGTAGCCTTCAAAATGGGGGAATTATACCTACTTACACTCAGCATAATTGGAACTGGACCACCGCGTACAGAGTGGAAGGGATGACAAAGTTCGCCAATGGGTTTTGTGTCTTCTTCTTGACAAGGGGTGGCCGCAGCGACAGCGACCACATGTTGTCAACCCTTCCAATGGACGGGGATTTCACACCCTGCCCCCCCCGACCTGACCTTCGAACCCGGCCACCGGGTCAAACCCAACCAAACCCAGCATCATGCTGTTTCTTGTGCCAGTTCGAGCCCTCTCAAGCCCATTCCATGATTCCATCTCATTTCCACTCGAATTCCGTTATTTATTTCAGGAAACCACATCACAAGATAAGTGCATCACTCTTATTCGTCTGTGACTCTTTCATTCCCCAACACCACCCTATCGACTCTTCGTAATTGCCGCGAATGGCGCCTGCTGCGAAAGCCAAGCCAGACAAGGAGGAGAAGCAGAAACCAGACCGGGCGGATCAGGTGGCTCGCCTCATGGGCTTGCTACATCGCGACCACACCAAGCCACACGACCCGCCGCCGCCCGACGAGGACACCGACCAAGACGACGCTCCTGCTGCCGCCGACAAGCCTGCCGCCCCCAGCGCGTCGGCCAGCCGCTGCTCCAACAGCGGAAGGCGGCCGGCCCCTGAGAGCGCTCAGGCTGATGGATCGTCGGCGTCGGCGCGCCGCGGCGCCGCGCCTCCCAGCCCGTCGCACGGCATGGCGCCGTCCGTGTCGTGGGAGGGGCAATGCGGTTCGCGAGGCGCAACCGCGGAATCTCCTCGCTACGCCAACGCGCCGCCTCCGCAGCAGCAGCAAATGCGCGGCCGGCCACGTCCACAAGCAGTGCAAGCGCCGTCGCCACGTGGCGCGCAAGCCGTCGCGCGGTCCTTCAACAACGGCGGGGTTGAATCCCCGCACACTCCGCCGGACCAGCCCCCTCCGCGCATCGGCCCAACAGCCTCGTCGCCGCACTCCGGGGCGGGGCCGCGCGCGCCGCCGCGGCCCAAGACCGGGGAGCAGCTTCAAGGCCCGCCGCTGCCGTCGCCCCGCGGGGCGGCTTCCCCCAAGTCGTGGAGCAACCCCGATGGCGCCGCCCCAGGGCCCGTCGCACCGCGAAAAATCCGAGCGCCTTCCATCCGACTCGAAGGCGCTGCGGGCGACGACGGCGAGGGGAGGTATTCAGCCCCCGTGGCGGCATCCCCCGTTGCTAGTAGCGGCGGCACAACGCCGAGGGGCGGGGCGGCGCGGCCAGGTTCATCGGCGGCTCGTCGCGAGCCGAACCGCGCGAGTAGCATGGGCGATTTCCCCGACGCGCGCGCCGCCGACGGCGGCAGCAGCAACGCTCTCATGCCCCCGCTGTCGCCGCTCGGCAGCGCAGCTGGTGGCGCGCGATCGGCGGTAGCTGCGCGCGGGAGGCGCGTGGCGACGAAGCACGCGAGTCTGGGCCACCAGGAGTACGAGCGCATGCACGTCGGCACCTCGACTAGCCCCGGCAATCCCAGCCTGTCGCCGTTACACGCGTCCGCCGTACCCCGGGCAGGCGTGAAGCAGGCGGCTGGCGGAACGCGCGCGGGGCTCACTCCGGGTGCCTCCCCGCCGAGTGGTGGAGACATGGTGAGGGCGGCGGATGGCGCGCACGGGGGAGCGCGGAGGGCGTCGAAGCACATGAGTCTGGGGAAGGAGGACTACCTGCGCATGGAGGCCGCGGGCAGCGGATACCTGCCCTCCCCCTCCCCGCCGCCGCCGCATGCCCGCGCCTCAGCCGGCCCTGGCGCTGGCGCTGCTGGTGCGCCGACCGGCCGGGTGAAGCCGGGGAGGCGCGCGAGCATGGGCGAGGAGGGCATGGAGGCCATGATGCGCGCAGCGGCGGCGGCCGCCAGCGAGGGCAGGCGCAAGAGCGTCGATGACTCGGCGGCGCCGCCCCAGGGCTGGGAAAAGTCCTGGACAGGCGGCGGCGAGGTGAAGGGTGGCGAAAGGAGGGGCGAGCCGGGTCGCGAGCGAGCGCGCAAAGAGCAGAGAAACGAGGCGGAGGAGGGAAGGGGAGCGGGCGAGGAGGGCGGGGCAGAGGGCGGAGCAGCGGACGAAGTCGTGGGGGAGGACCCATGCGGCAGCCCGGTGCTGGGCGTGCAGGGGCGCGCGGAGGAACCGGCGTGGGCGGACGAGGCGGCAGAGAGCGTGGGGGCGCGCAGTGGCGGGGAGCTGTCCGCGAGGGCGGGGGGCGGCAGGAAGGGCAGTCTGGCGCGGAGCCTGACGGAGGACGAGGAGGCGGGCGACGAAGCGCCGGCTGAGCGGCCTCGCGGGAAGGCGCAGGCGCAGGCGAGCCCCAAGGCGAGCCCGAGGGGGCCGAGCGGGCGGCGGCTTGCGCGGCCGATGGAGGAGGACGAGGGCGCGGAGGAGTCGGGCGGAGCGGCCAAGGCAGTGGCGGGCGGGCGAGGGAAGGCGGCCGCGGAGGCGCGGGGCGCAGCGAAGGGGCGAGTGAGGCCGCGCAGCATGGAAGCGGACGAGGGGGGTGGCTGGGGCGAGTGTCAAGGGCGGCCCGGCGAGAGAACTGTGAGGGTTGAAGGCGCCAAGGGCGCGGGCGCAGGCAGCGCGAAGCGGGGCAGCCTGGCGCGGAGCCTGCGGGAGGATGACGAGGAGAAGGGGCGCGCGGTGGGGAAGGCGGGAGGCGGCCTGGTGAGGTGCCTGTCGGACGACGAGGAGGAGGGCGCACACGCGGTAGAGGCGAACAAGGCTAAGGGGCACGTGAGGGGCGCAGAGAGCGAGCAGCACGGCGCGGCCGGCGGCGCGAAGCAGAAGGCGGCGAATGGGATATCAGGCAGGAAAGGCGGCTCGCTGGTGCGGAGCATGACGGAGGACGAGGATGACGACGCGCCTTCCCCACCGCGCGCAGGCAGCGGGGAGGGCAAAGGCGGACGGGGCGTGCAGGTGCGGGAGCAGGCGACGGGGAAGGTGCGGGGGGAGGGGGCGAGCTCAAAGGGGCGGGCGAGAGGGGAGATGGAAAGTGGAGAAGGCGTGGCGGCGGGGAAGGCAGGAGGCAGCCTGGTGAGGTGCCTGTCAGACGACGAGGAGGAGGCAGATAAGGGGAAAGCAGGAAAGGCTGGTGAGGGGCACGTGGGGGATGCCGAGGGCGAGCAGCACAGCGCTGCCGGCGGAGCGAAGCAGAAGGCGATTGGCAAGGCAAGCAGGAATGGTAGTTCACTGGTGCGGAGCATGACCGAGGATGGAGATGACGACGCGGATACAGGCGCGGGGCGGGGACATGGCAGCGGGGGGAGCAAAAGCGGACGCGAGGGTGCGGGGCGGGGCGCTCAGGTGAGGGAGCAGCGGAAAGGAAAGGCGCGGGGGGAGGGGGCGAGCCCAAAAGGGCGGGTGAGAGCGGAGAGAGACAGTGGAGAAGGTATGGCGCAGGGGAAGGCGGCGAGTGCGGCAGAGGAAGTCCGTGCGGACATGGCGCCTGCTGTGGGCAAGGCAGGAGGCGGCCTGGTGAGGTGCCTATCAGACGATGAGGAGGAGAAGGCGGTAGAGGCGAGCAAGGCTAAGGGGCACGCGAGGGGGGGGCAGCACAGTGCCACTGGTGGATCGAGGCAGAAGGCGTTGAACGGCGATCCAGGAAGGAAGAGTGGGTTGCTGGCGAGGAGCATGCGTGAGGATGGTGGCGAGGATGCGGATATGCGCGTGGTGGAGGGGCATGGCGGCGGGGAGAGCGAAGGCGGTCGTGAGGGTGCGGGGCGGGGCGTGCAGGTGAGGGAGGAGCCAGCAGGACAGGCATGCGCGGAGGGGGAGGGCGCAACCAGGCAGGCGAGAGGAGAGATGGAAACTGGAGAAGGCGTGGCGCAGGGAAACGCGGCGAGTGAGGCAGGGGAAGTGCATGGGGACACGGTGCATGGGGAGGCAGGAGGCAGCCTTGTGAGGTGCCTGTCAGACGATGAGGGGGACACACATGCGGCACAGGGGAGCACGGCTGAGGGAAGTCAAGCTGAGGGGCATGTGGCGGGTGGGGAGAGCGAGCAGCACACAGATGCTGGAGGAGCGAGGGCGAAGGCAGCGAGTGCCAACCCAGGAAGAAAGAAGCTGCTGATGCGGAGCATGACGGAGGATGAGAGCGAGGAGGAAGCAGAGGTGCCCGCCAAGCCCATGCCGGCCAAGCCCGTGCCTGTTGAGAACGAGCCAAAGCCCGCGAGCCGGGCACAGGGGGCACGGGGAGGACGGGGTGGGGGGCGGGGTGCAGGGGTGACAAGGAGGGCTCCCCGTGAGGCGGGGCAGCGGGCAGGGCGGGGAACGGCAGGGCAGCAGGGCAGGGCGGAGCAGGCGGCACAGATGGCACCGGCAGAGGAGTTGCCAGAGGTGCAGGGAGGCGAGAAGGAGAAGGGGAAGCGAGGCATTGGCGGACTGATGAGCAGGCTCAAGGTCCTTGCCACGTGAACCAGGGCGGTTGTAACCAGCTCCCATTGTACCACATTCCCCCGATATACCGCCCAGGGGCGTTTAAGGGTAATGGGGAGGGAGAAGGGGAGGGGGGAAGAGGGAGGAAGGGTGGGGATTTGTTAAGAGACTGGATTACCGTTTAGGGAATCAGTTTTTCTTAGCAGAAACGAAGTTATTGTGAACCGGCAATTGGGGTACGCGTAGCTTCAGTATTCTTGAAAATGTTTTCGCATTGAACAACTCCATATACCGTACCTGGTCAGCAGTCTAAAAAATAGCATCTGTGGATGTACCGTAATACCCCGGAATATAAGGCCCGGGTGTATCATAAGAATCCCACCCCAAAAAGAGGGGGGTGGAGGGTCTTAGGGCGTGTTCCTACGGCCTCATATCAGGAAACCTTGTATCAAGAATGTATTTTTTGTCTGGTAAAACTAGCGAGGGGTTTTGGGTTTGGGGGAATTTTCAGTGTGAGCCTGATACAAGGTTCTCTTGATGCGAGGTGTAGGAACACGCTCGGTTACATTTTAAGACCCGGGTCTTATCATAAGGTCTGTATTGGAAGCCATACATGTCAACACTACCTGCTTCGTTATTACCGTCATCGCCCGGATGTAAGACATGTATGACTTACCCGTAATCCCCCGCAGAGTACACCCCCCAAAATAGAACACCCATGGGTGTTCTATTACGGTGGGTGTACTCATAAATACACCAGTTATAACACCCCCCTGATTTTTTGAAAATTTCAGTACACCCCATATTAATCTAAATGTGAATCGCGAGAGGATTTTTAGCGAGTTTCTCAATCGGGAGGGACGCGTCACCCCTGAAATGTTATCGCGCAAGGCTGAGGGACTGCCTTCGATCGATTCAGGCACGTGCGAGCCTCTTGCCAGTGAGTCAGCATGACGTGGCTCGCACTTTACGCGCAGTTCAAACCATTTTCAGCTCGACTCGATAAACAAAGTACCTTGAGTACAGAAAACATGTGTTTCTTCACATGCATTAATGCCATTTTATAGCACCCATGGGTGCAGGCTTACACCCCCCCCATAATTGAACACCCCCCTAAAGGGGGGTATTTATCAGTACACCCTAGGGTGTACTATGCGGGGGATTACGGTATCTCGTACACTAGAAAAATTGTTTGGTTTATCTTGTAAATGGGGAGGTTTTGGGTGTCTTATAAGTCTTATAAATGGACAAATAATCGTTTAGAAGATACTGTCAAACATTGTATGTTTATATTGTGTAGGCTGTAGTGGGTTACACCTTAGGGGGTACACAAAGTTAGGGTTTCCTACTTGTACCAAACTCTGAGCTAGTTCATTCATTCCTCGTTCAGTTATTCTGACATGGTTTCAGAGCAGGTCCTTCGCTAGGACCTAAGTTTTTTTTTTTTTTTTTTTTTTTTTTTTTCGGGCCCACCTCTACTACCTACCTACCTACTGTCGGAGTGCTGCGTTAGCGCCTCCCCCTCCGCGCCTTCGTGCGCCCTCGTGTACGGCCCCTTAAGGCCCCGTCGACCCCGCACGCTGCCCCTTAGTGGCCCCGTCGCACCCGCGCGCGCCCCGATTCCGGCCCGTCGCCCCGTCGACCCTCACCTAGCGGCCCCGCGGCCCCGTCGACCCACCCGCGCGCACCTCGTTTAGCGGCCCCGCGGCCCAGTCGCCCCGTCGACCCTCACCTAGCGGCACCGCGGCCCCGTCGACCCACCCGCGCGCACCTCGTTTAGCGGCCCCGCGGCCCCGTCGCCCCGTCGACCCTCACCTAGCGGCCCCGCGGCCCCGTCGACCCACCCGCGCGCACCTCGTTTAGCGGCCCCGCGGCCCCGTCGCCCCGTCGACCCTCACCTTGAGGCCCCGCGGCCCCGTCGACCCACCCTTGACGCCCCGCGCGCACCTCGTTTAGCGGCCCCGCGGCCCCGTCGCCCCGTCGCCCCTCACTTAGAGGCCCCGCGGCCCCGTGCGCACCTCGTGTCGCGACCCCGCGGCCCCGTCGACCCACCCCTGGTGGCCTCACGGCCCCGTGCACGCCCCGCCTAGAGGCCCCGCGACCCCGTCGACCCGTGCGCACCCCGCCTAGAGGCCCCGCGACCCCGTCGACCCGTGCGCCCCCCCGCCTAGAGGTCCCCGCGGCCCCGTCGTCCCCGCGCGCGCCCCGCATAGAGGCCCCGCTGGCCCCATAGACCCCGCGCACCGCCTCTTCGCGGCCCCGTCGCTTCTACTGATACTGCTACTGCTGCTGCTGCAGCTGCTACCGCTACTACTGCTACTGCTACTGCTGCTACTATTATGGCTAGTCCGCCTGTACTCGCTTTCGATGCTGAGGGCCGTCCAGTGAAGTTCGAAACCTGGCTAGATGACCTGCATCTCTTCCTACAGCTCACTGCCAAGGAGGACATCTCACTGTACGATCATGCCCTCGGTCACGCTACTGCCCCTCCTACCACTGCAGACAGCACTCAGCGCTCACAGTGGCAGACTCGTGATGCCCACGCTCGCTTCGCCATTCGCAACTCCCTGCCACTAGATGAGCGCGAGCACTTTGGCCAGCACAAGACTGCTAAGGACCTGTACACTGCTGTAGTTGCTCGTTACTCCTCACCTGCCTCTGCCGCACTAGGCCGCCTCACCCTACCTGTTCCCCGACCTGGCCTCCTTCAGCACAGTCGCTGACCTCTTCACCCACCTCAGGACCAGTGAGGCCCGCTTTCGCGCTGCTATGCCTGACGAGTTCCTTGCCAGCAACCCCCCCCCCGCTCTGGATCACGCTTTACCACATCGTCACCCGCCTCCCTGACTCTCTGCGCGCAGTCAGGGATCACTTCCTCGCTCGCTCTCCCACTGAGCTCACCATTGCCCTCCTCGAGAAGGAATTGCTTGCAGCTGAGGCGAGCATCGTCGCTGTAGGCACCTCTCGTGGCGACCCCCGCACCCCGTTCTTTGAGGGGTGTTCCCCTTCCCCTCTCCTCCCCTCTGTCGCCTCTGCTGCTGCTGTCGACCTCCTTGGTGCTGAGAAGGTCGGGGCTGCGTCTGCTCCGAGCGGGCGCCGCAGGGGCAAAGGGGGCAAGGGTGTAGGAGGCGGCGGGGGAGGCGGGAGTGGTGGCGGTGGGGGTGGCGGTGGGACTGGAGAGGCTAGTGGCGGCAGTGGGGGTGGTGACAGCAGCGGCGGGAGCGGTGGCAGGGGCGGAGGCGGCAGCGGAGGCGGAGGTGGTCGTGGCGGCGGCAGGGGTGGAGGTGGCCGGGGCGGTGGCGGCGGCGGTGGTGGTCGTGGAGGCGCTGGCGGTGGACAGAGTCAGCAGCCCGCCCCGTCGCTTCAGGCCGCCCGTGAGTGGTATGCGCAGCGTGGCTTTACCTGCACGTACGTCATTCGCACTGGTGACCGCACTGGCCAGCAGTGTGGGAGGCCGCATCCCACACAGCGTTGTTTCGCGCGCCTTACTGACGCGTGGCGGGCCCAGTTTCCTGATGCCACTGACCTGCCCCACTGGGCTGATCTGGAGAAGAAGGGAGTTGATATCTGGGCTTTAGACTTTGATGCTATTCTCACTGCCATGTATGTGATGTTTACTAGTGGAGAGGGTGCTCAGTACTTGCGTGTTCCACCCGACCCGGGCATTCTGACCAGTCCGGCCGCCGCTCTAGGTGCTAGTGAGTCTGCTGCCCCAGGTCCTGGTGAGGCTGCAGCCCTAGGTGCTCGTGCGTCCGTGTCCCCTGGTACTGAGTCGACTGCAGCACTGCACACCTTCACACTGGACTCAGGTGCTTCTCGCTCCTTCTTTCGTGACCGCACAGTCCTTGAGCCACTCGCTCGGCCAGTTGCTGTCTCCCTTGCTGACCCCTCTGGGGGTCCGGTCATTGCGACCTCCTCCACTGTCCTTCCTTGTCCGGCGGTCCCGTCCGGCACGCTGTCAGGTCTCTACCTCCCCTCGTTCTCTACGAACTTGGTGGCAGGTAGTGCGCTCCAGGACGGGGGTGTTCACCAGTTCACCCCCGCCTACGAGCGCGTGACACACTGCACGTGTGCTCGGACGGGTCGCCACCTGGCTACCTTCACTCGGGAGCCGGGGTCGGACCTGTACACACTGACCACTGAGTCTCCTCAGGTAGCTGCGTCTGCGTCTACGTCTGCGTCTGCGTCAGGTCAGCTGTCCGCCCCCTGCTCGTGTCGCTCTCTGGCGCATGAGACTGTCCTCTGGCACCACCGCCTTGGTCACCCGTCTGTGCAGCGCCTTCGGGCCATGCACAAACGGGACCTTGTTGCTGGTCTTCCCAGGGTTCTCCCTCCCCTCCCACCCTCGCCTGCTCCTCCCTGTCTTCCCGCTCCTCACTCCTCCTCCTTCCCCCCGACGACTGCTCCTTTGCAGACGCTCCACATGGACGTGTGGGGCCCAGCCCGCGTCCGTGGTCAGGGTCAAGAGAGGTACTTCCTGATTGTTGTTGACGACTTCTCGCGCTACACCACGGTCTTCCCCTTGCGCACCAAGGGTGACGTCCCTGATGTCTTGATCCCTTGGATCCGCAGATCTCGTCTCCAGCTCAGTGAGCGTTTCCGCTCCGACTTCCCTGTCCTGCGTCTGCACTCTGACAGAGGTGGGGAGTTTTCCTCTGGCCTATTGGAGGCCTTCTGTCAGCAGGAGGGCATTGAGCAGTCGTTCACGCTTCCGGCCTCTCCACAGCAGAATGGGGTTGCTGAGCGCCGCATTGGCTTGGTCATGGAGGTCGCTCGTACCTCCCTGGTTCATGCGGCTGCCCCCCACTTTCTGTGGCCGTTTGCAGTCCGATACGCTGCGCATCAGCTCAACCTCTGGCCCCGTGTCTCCTTACCGGAGACTTCTCCGACACTGCGTTGGACGGGAGAGGCTGGCGATGCGTCGCGTTTTCGGGTCTGGGGATCTCGAGCTTTTGTTCGCGATACGTCCGCGGACAAGCTCTCCCGTCGCGCTGTCCCCTGTGTCTTCCTTGGCTTTGTCCCGGACGCGCCTGGTTGGC